TCAGGCGGATGGGTAGCGACTCCGATTCCAGCCTCTTTTGAGCATGGACAAGGTCGGGATTAGACGGATAAATGGGCCAATGAAACCTTGGTAGACCGGCTTATTAGTGATGCGCTAATTGCTAAGCTTTCTGATCGCTTATTTTCTTCCGTCCAATCGACTAGCATTAGCTCGTACTCAGCTCATTGCCGTCTGTCAGTGGGTTGTAGAGAGACGCAGTACGGAGTAGGCTAGTCTTACTTGTATAATCATTATTTTTTTTTGATTTTGAAGCAGCCTTACGTGGTAGATTAGTAGATCTAACCCATTGACTTGACGTTTAGGCTTACTGTGTCACTGGGTTTTTAGATCAGTATGTGGTGATATTTGGCAAGGGAGTATGTTCGATGGCATATATAGCCTTGTGTACACTATGCGACACTGCATGGTAGTTTATTAGCGCTAAATGTCGGCAACAGGGCAGGTAAGATGAAGCTTGCAGTTGGATCGCCAGTCTGCAATCCCAAATATTGAAGTTCAAGCACGCCATACTGGATAAAGAATATATATCTTGCCCGGTCCGGATGGGGGAACCGTGAGCATAGTACTATCCGTCCGCGGGCAGTTAAGCCAACAGATTAAATAGCACATTAGTATACATGCTTCTTACAATCATGTAACTGAGCTCTAATGAATAATATAGGGTTGACACCTAGATTCGCCGTCTGTTTAACCTGGCCGGTCCGTAAAGAAAGCTCTTGTGGAACAAGATATATTTTTCAGATATAAGGCTAAAGTGTTTGCAACAAATATCAAGTACGGCCGGGTGGCGCAATGGTAGCGCGCTGCCTTCCGGTAGTGGATGTGGCAGTGGTTGCGTGTTCGAGTCACGTCTCGGTCGTTCTTTTTTGCTTTTTGCATTTATACCCCCCGCTACCTGGAGTGATGGCATGACTTATTTTTATTGGCTATAACATCCTCTTCTCCCCGCTTTCCGGGATATCTGATCCATTTTCATCCAAGTGGACATGGCCTGCGGCTCCACCCCCACCATGTCGCCATGGGATCGCAACTTTTTGGCACGTTATGGGAACAATGGCCTGCATCGAGCATCGCACATAGGCACATTTTCCAACTATCATGTATCTTCTCCTTTTATTGCCAGTTCTCGATAATAGTGAGAGATCCGGCTGGTCATGCCACCGACGACAGAATCATGTCAGCAGCCTACAATGCACATATTAGCAGCAGCACTATGCCCTCATGCTCCAATACCTACCTGTTCTGCAACACCATACGTAGGCGCCTGATAATGCGCCGCCAATGGTAGTGGGATTACACCAGAGTCCACAACCCTCAATCGCTCAACTTGATACACCCGACACTCAGTGTCGACAACTTCCCCCATCGCACAAGTCCCCGAGTAGTGAAAGCAACTACCACCACTCCGGTTCGCCCGGACATCGATCGCCTCATCGGACCAATTGTCACGGAGAGAATCATCGACGCCGAATTCGACAGCATTAAGACCCTCGACGGCCTGTATGGCACGCGCAGTCTCTCGCACATTCTCGTACATCGCCGATCGGTCAATCGGGGATGCAAGGAGTCTGGGATCCAGCACGGGGGCGTCAGAAGGGTCAGATGATCGCAGCGTGAGAGTACCCCGTGATACTGAGTCGACGAGAACGTGCATGAGGCTGATGACGCGCTTCCCGGGCCAGCCCTCGAGGGGTTTCTTGCGAGCGGACGTGTCGACGGCGGTGTAACTGACTTGGTTAGCAGTGCCTTTCTTTCTGCGAGCTTTGAGGAACAGCATACACAATAAAGTTTTCAAGTTGCATCTTCCCCTCAGCCAAATACCGACTGCGCTCGGCTGAGCTCAGAACTTGTTTGGCCAGCTCTTGTGTCTTTGCATCCGCAGGTGCAAAAGACATCCAGTCGTATGGCAAGCCCGCTAGCCAATGGACCTGTTCTGTTTCCATCTCCCCGTCCCCTAGGGTAGCATTGTGCTCGTCAATCGTCCAGTAGGTGAATATATGAGGGTGGTCAGCATAGTTATTTCCCACGGGGAGGTCTACGACTGGAGTGATGCCATGCCGCTGCAATTCTTCTTCTGGGCCGATGCCGCTGTAATTGTTATTAGGTTTTTCTATCCTCAGAAGCAGTTAATGCTAACTCACCTAAGAAGAAGGATTTTGGGTGATCCATATGCCCCTGCTGAGAGGATCACCTCCATACGAGCCCTGACATGCACACGCTCAATCTGATCTCCTACTGATCGCGCAACAACGGCGCCTTTCACAGTCTTCCCAGTCATGATGAGCCTTTCCACAGTTGAATTCGTCCAGACAGTGACGTTACTCCCCAAAGGGTAGCTACTCGCAAAGCTTCTCAATCCCGCATAGGTGGAACTGAAAGCCTCCGAGCACCCCAGCTGCTGTCCACTATTCATATCATCCACCTGCTTGCGACCGAGCAATTCGTGAAATCTGCGACTCTTCTCCCGCAACGGGTAATTTCGTGGCAGTCCACTGTTCGTCGCATGGCTGACCTATACGATATTAACACGGTACCTCATAACGTAGAAGAGGAATGCGATAGCTACCTTGATCGGCCCACAATCTCCATGAACATCAACCGTGAGAAGGCCTCTCTTCTTCATCTCCACCGAAGGATACCACGTCTCGACCATCTTGAAATACGGCAAAAGGCCATCCCACGACCATCTCCGGTCTTGAACAAGCTCTGCCCATTGGTCACTAACCCAACACAGTCACATCAGTAACAATTTTGGTAACCATATCACCATTAATAGTATGGAATCTCACTAATCAACAGCCGGCCCGCGCGTAAACACCTGATAATTTACCCCGGACCCTCCTCCGACGAGCTTGCCAGAGGTTAGACACACCGTATCACCCCCGAAAGCGCGCTCCTGCGGCACCGAGCGATGGGGCCATTCGATATCCGAGCCGAATCCTGCCACGAAGCCCATTGCGCCGGATGTCCGATCGTCTTTCTCGACGCCGGCCTCGATGAGCAGGATGCGCAGATCGGGACGGCTTTGCGAGATTCGACTCGCTACCACGCAGCCTGTTGCTTATCAGTATGCGGGGAAGATATTGTGATTGGGGGATTACCTGCGACGCCTGCTCCGACTATAATGAAGTCGAATGTTTCTTCTGGCTTCATGTTGTTCATGTGAGATATGGCTGATAGCTATAGACGATAGATGGCGAATATTGTATGCATCTAATGCAACGCCATTGATATACTCGCAGCTACGGGTGGCCTGAAGGGCAAGATGGTATTGATGATACTTAGACCTCGTCCGCTTGCGGAATAACTCACCAGAGAGACGTGGACGGCTGTTACACGAGGAGAGTCAGCTTTTGTATGGGAGTCGCCATTTGCAGGGAAATCCCATAGCCAACGAAAGAACACGAAGAATATAAGCATATCGGTACATCCAGCTTTAACAGGCTTTGGCATTAAGGCGTGCACTATGACCGCATGAAGGCTGGTCTGGACACAGAACAGAGTTGGATGCGAAACCTAAACGCGTGAGGGGAAACGGCGTCTCCGCATCAAGTTTCCCCGAGTGTCAGCGAACAACAAACACAGTGAGTGAGAAAGAAGTCTTGTCTTTATTCCATCATCACGTCAATCATCAACATCATCTCATCTATTCTACATTTAAGATCGCAACACTCTTGACGAACCGACGAACCTATTTCCAGGTATCCTCGGTAACCGCCCACGGACCCGGGGGCACCTTATCATTCCACTCACCGCGCGGAGGGCGCCAAAGCAAGAGAATCGCGGGCGGTTGACATTCATGCACCAGCCTGTTCCACTCATCACTGGGGTTCTTCTTCGCAAAGTCGATGTTCAGACTGATGACGCGCTTGTATCCGCTCTCTTCATACAACCAGCGACCGATGGGACTGCCCTCGATCCAACTCTCGTATCCCAGGGGATCGATCCTCTCGTGGCCCCATTGCATGAGAAGTCGTCCTACGCCTCGACGGCGGTAATCGGGGTGGACGCCCATGGCATTTACGCCTATTCATTCATCAGTTAGCTCTACTCAATAATGAATAAAGTAAATGGAATGAAGGGGTATATACCAGCATGAGGCCTCTGCAACCAACACTGTCTCGGAAAGAAAGCCTGACTGAGCATGCGACTAGCATATTCCGCGCGTTCCGAACCCTCCGGGTACCAAGTACACGACAGCGGTTGAGGGCCATTGGGAAAGGGGTTCTTGTGAAAGACGAGCCATTCGCAGCCGCCGGCGACGCGACCGGTCTCGGTATCAATCACATAGATGAGATGGGAGGCAGGATTCTTCTCGTGAGCGGCCCAGCGGATTTCCGTGTCGAGGGCTTTGTCTTTTACGCGGTCTTCTGCGGTGTGGCCGCTTACGGGGTGAACGGCGGTGAATACTGGACTGTTGATTGTGGTGGTGGTGCGACCGGCGAGATTAGTTTGAAACTCTACTACTGTACGGGGATGGGAGGATAGGAGGGAGGATTGGGGGGAGGAGATTAATGAAGGAAGAAGGAAGGGAAGGAATGTGTGGTGGTAAATTGCGCGCTCTCACTTACTTGTAAGGGTTGAAGTTGGCCGACCAGAGAACGTCGACTAGACGGGCATATTCCTCTTTGGTGTGGATTTCCCGGACTTCGAACTGCGACTTGGTCATGATGGGCTGGGCTGGCTGGCTGGACTCTTGGGAAAGGATTGATGGGATGGATGATCGATTGAAACGGGGAAATTGAGGGGGGGCGCGCGGGATGAGGGGGAAACAACAAGAGAAAGAGAAAAAAAGTATCTGACTTGACTAATAGAGAGTAGTGAATGGAAAATAGATTAGTTAGATTAGTTATCCTCCCTAAATTATCTACCAAGTAATGAACTAATTTAGTAGCCGGAAGCCGATGTTACCCTGTCACGGACGGACTAAATGAATCCTTCTTTTAAATTAAAAAAAAGTAGTACTATGGTATAAGGTAGACTATTTTAGGGCGACGCCACTAATAAGTAGGGGAAAAGTCCCTGAATCAAGAGGAAAATTGCGCCATTTCCCGAGCTGTTAGTGAGTCAAAAGCATCCAACTAAATCTCGGCTAGCGGGCCCTTGTAGTGCTTCCGCGCCCATCCCACATAGTACACGATACTGATGAGGGTAACTCCCGCGAAAATGACAATGCTGTAGTTAATATTCTTGGGAGCAGGGTGGTTCTCCGGTGGCCAGCACCCGAAGAACATCATGATGATGGAGTAGGCAATGGCAAAGATGTTATTTGCCGTGCCCAACCACCCTTTGACTCGGAAGGGCCCCCAGTTGAGGACACCGCCGCCTTGACCCGGCTCGGTGAGGTCGCCGCGCAATCTACGATAGAGCAGGAGAGTCAGAGAGATCATGTACGAGGCAAAGAAGGCCTCCAACACCAGCGACAGAATGATGTTCAGCACCACTGCCGACCCGATGTTAATCAGGCTGAGCAGACCGGCCGCGATGACCACCACCAACGTGCTGTGGAAGGGCACTAGAGTCCGTTGGTTCACCTGTAGATAAGAGCGATCGCAATTAGTATATTCCTTGACAAAATAATCTGAGGGCGAAGAGAGGCTAGGCCCATCACTTACCTGTCGCACCCAGCGCCAGCCGGGAATGGCCTGCTCGCGGGAGAATGACCACAGCATACGACTGCCGGAAGAGATACCCGCGAGTCCTGCACACGCTTGCAGAATAGCCATCATACTGGAAAGAACAACCGCAGCACCCTTACTGCCCGTCGAGCTCGCCAGCATGTACATGAAGGGATACGAGGCACTGGATTCCACAATCTTCAGCAGGTCTCCAGCGGTGAAGAGGAAGGCAATCAGAATGGCAAAGCCAGTTGCGCCGTTGATCATGAGGGCCAGCAGCATAGAACGGGGGACCACCCGACTGCTGTTGGCGACTTCTTCGGCCATCTGTAAGGGGTTAGTTTTTGGCAACTGACTCAAACAGCGGCTAAACACCGAGAAGGAAGCACTTACATGAACCGCGCCATCAGTGCCTAGTGAACACAAAAACCGAGTCAGTATATCATGTTGAAGTTGATTAGACGCAAAAGTCTGCCTTACCAACAAACGCAGCCACAGTGCCTTTTAACCCGATAAAGGTAGCCAAGGTCAGATCACCCCAGCCGCCATAATCGAAGGATACAGTAAAGATCGATCGCGGATCGGCCTTGGGCCCCAAATAGACGAGCGGAACCAAGACGGCGAAGAAGCCAAGCACATGGACAAGAAGGATAAGCACTTCAATGACCGGCAAGATCATCCCCAGCCAAGTATTGAGAACTGTGCAGACGAGCAGAATCGCCCACATGATCAGCGTGATGTGCCATCCTTTGGGATCATAGCTGGGGATGTTCATGGCAATGGTGCTCTGCAGCACACTGGCAGCCAGGTAGATGGCGGCTGTGGGGGCCGCTGTCCACGCAATAATGCAGACCGAGCCTGGATTTTTCCTTGCGTTAGCTAATTCGGACCGCGGTTCGCATACTCGGCACATGGAGTCGCACACATACCAGTGACATGACTGAGAAACTTCCTGGCCGACCTGGGGGCCAAGATGCTCACCCAATGATATTGTCCGCCCGCCTGTGGTGAGAAATTAGGCTCATTCTCAGCTGCAGGAAGTGTCGGACACATACCGACGGCATCATGCTTGCTAGCTCCCCCATCGAAATGAACACGGAAATGATGCCCGCCCAGACCCCAAGAAAGCCATACACCAAACCGGCGGGACCACCACTGCACAAGGGTTAACAAACATTATTCTTCAGAGGTAAGCTCATTCCATGGTAGGCCTTACTTGGTGAGTCCCAAGCCAATGTTCCTAATTATCCCTATTAGCATGTAGAGATCTGACGGGATAAAAAGCAAGGGGGAGTGGGGAAACAAAAAGAGGGGTAAAAGAGAGAAAAAAAAGAAATATTGAAAAAAAAATATCGCATACATTATAACCGCTTCCCAAGTCAGCATCAAGCTGCAGGCAAACCCGACAGTACTCGTTAGACCAAATCGTCGCTAGCAAGGGTAGATCTCAGCGGCTGATGGTAGTAGAATCTCGGGGATAACGTGTGTGTTGGTTACCTTCAGCACCTCCTTCTTTCCGACCCTGGCCAGCTCGTAAGCATCGTTACTAAAAGTAGCCTTGCTCGGCGTGCCAGAATCCCGGTTCGTTGGAGCACGCAGCTCGATCGAATGTTCAACATCGCTGTTCCTGGCCATTTTGGGAACTCGTCACGACCAGTGCAAGACGCAGGCAACTAGACAAGTAAGAGAAGGTGTGATTTCGAAGGCATGGATTTTAAGAAACTGATTCGGAGTCATTTTATGCAAGCGCGGCCGGATAAAATCCAACGTAGACGGTAAACCCTGCAGGATTGCCACACACAGTCCTGCCATTAGACCAATTATCGGCCGGATTACCCGAAGAAGCAAAGGGTCCCTCTACGTTATCAGCTGCAGAAAGTATCGTGCGATAATTGGGGGCCAGATGCATTGTAAGTTGGGGGCCGTTATTTCGATATCTGAAGGATGGCTGAGTGTGAGGAAACGAAATTGCATCCCCAGTGTTCTAGTAGTCTAGCCTATCGAGAAATGTTCAACTACTACTAAATTAGACGATCTTGGCTGCCGCGTGTCTCATATGGGCGTAAATTGAAATTGGAACGCGACCAAGCGACTCCGGAAGGAAGAGAGAAAGGAATGAAGGCTGGCAAGCAGGGGGGTGGAGTTGGAAAGTGGAGAAGTAGACAGGGAGGGGAGGGTGTGCACCACCCGTCCACCACCACAACAATGGGACCATCCAACGTCAGCCCTAGTTTATTAGCTGTCCATCTTGTTCGGGTGGGCCGGGAAAGCCCACCCACCACCACCACCACTACGTACTACGACTACCAACACAGCACAAAACCAAGAAGCATATTAGCCAAGGCAGCTCGGCTACTCAAGCAGTCTTGGCCATAAGCAGTAAGACCGAGACAGCCAACCGTCTCACATGATTTGACTGGTGTTTCCCCATTAGGGTTAGATATTCCTGCAGTGTGCAGAGAGGGCGGCCGCTAGAGAATCCAGGCGGAGGGGCGCAGAGCCATAGTGCGACGCTTATAGGCCGACGGCCTTGGCGATCATCGGGCCTCCCCGACTAAACTTTCCGGGCGGCACGCGCCAGCCCCAGTAGTATCCAGTGGGATCCAGTCTTATCCAGCGTATCCTGTCGCTCCTGTGTGTCTCCAGTGCGACCCGTGCTCCATCTCCGCTCGTGCAGAGAGCATGTTTGCTTGCTGGGCTGTGTATGGGGCTGTTCACGCACTGCTCACAAGTAGGATCTGCCTTCTCTTCAGCCAGCGGTCTTATTTACCTTATATGCCTAAAATCGTTCAATCACGATCAGTTTCGTAGCCAGCCAAAATCCTTCACTACCTGTGCCTTGGAATCCGATTCGGTACCATGAAGGTTATTTTGTTTCACGCCTGAAAGTCATGACAGACCATTCTGCAGCAGTCAAGGTCGTGACATGCTTCCTCCTCATCGTCTCCTTCATCGCTGTCGTAGCCTGTTTGACGACAAACTGGCAGGTTTTGAGGAGGAAGGTGTCTAGTGTGACGCTCCTTTTGAGCACTTTGGTTAGCTAGCTCTCTCAGATAATTTGTTTGCTTCGTGCCATCTGTATAGTAAAACTGACTGTCAGTAGATCGCATCAATTGCCTCCGGGGCAGCTGTATCCGTCGCTGCTACTCATGGCTTGGGACAAGCTTCCCCTCTCTCAGATGACCAGGTGGTCGTCATGCAGAAGGCCCTCTATTCCATGGAGGTGCTGTATGTTTTGACGCTGGGACTGGGAAAGCTGTCTGTCATGGTTCTCTTCTACAGTCTACTCTCGTCGACAGGCCAGTCGAAGTCTGTCCTGGCAGCGACAGGTCTACTCTTGATATGGGTTGTGGTGATGGCCATTGTGGTATGCCTACAATGCCATCCACCCGAAGTTTGGAACATCGTCGGCGGGAAGTGTCTTGACGTGGTAAGTAGAATACGATGTGTTAGCCCGGCTACGAAAACATTGCTAATGTCTTCAAGTCCGGAATTTGGATAGCATTCGGGGTCATGAACGTCTTGGTCGAGATTATGATTATCGCAGTCCCATCCTTCATCATCTTCCGCCTGCAACTGAGTCTGAAAAGGCGTTTGGTGGTAATAAGCTGCTTCGGCATCCGAATCCTGTATGTCGCAATACTTTACCGAGATTTCGACACTTCTGACCTCTTTCTAGGGATATCGCGGGCAGTATTGTGCAGCTGTGCTACGTCCGTAATTTCAAGCTCCACGCCGACTCTCCTCTACCGACCAATGTCTGGCAATGGGCGATTTGCAGTCAAGTGCTTCAAACGGTGGCTATCTTATCTGCCTGTGTGCCATACCTTCGAGAATTCCTGGAGTCGTTCCCCAGTGGTATGTTCAAGCCGACTGAGCTCAAACATCCTACGGTGCAGTCGGCATACAATGCGACCAAGTGTTCGGACAGTGATATAGAATTAATGAGACCGGAATCGACAAAAGATACTTAGTTAATCAACTTGAATTTCACAACTAAATACATAAATATTTCCATTGTATCATTTATTCTTTGTAATACCCCGCTTAACCGTTTACTTGCTGATAGCGGCAACGGTCAGCTCGTCCATCTGACGGACGTTGGCGTCAGCAGCGGCACGCTCGACGTTGTTGGTGGTAGGGAGGGCGAGAGCCACGGCCGAGAAGGCGACGAGGACGAGAGTAGCGACACGCATTTTGTGAGATGTGGTTGTTTTGAGATAATATGTCTCGGAGGAAGGCAGGAGTCTGTCACAGAGCTATGTTAACCCGAAGACCACTGCAGAATGGTGTCCCCCAAGATGAGGGGAGCGTACCTTTTGTGGTAGGAGGAACAAGAGTGTGAGACCTGAAGACTTGAGGAATTGCTGCTGAATGAACGAGGAGCGAGGGGGGATTTGAGGGGATTACATAGGAACCAGCGGCGGAGGACCGGCAAGGTCCGAAGACAATTGATCCGGTGGGATAGAAGCAGGCCGTCACATAGTGGAGCCTCAGATAGCGAAGGATTACCTGTTTGCGACGCTACTATCAACCGGTGTGCCGTGCTGACCAGCCTTGCATTAGCTTGAGCTCTTTTCATGCAATGTGAACCCACATCGCCGACAGCCCCATTGCCGGCATCGCATGATGTGTTCCGGAGCCGACGTTCCATCAGAAATGTGACAAATGTGACAAGGGCTCGGTGTTTAAAATCTGAGCATTGCGTTGACCCCCGACGCCCCTCCGGCTGTCAAACCCCTCCATGTTCATTCCCCCCTCTCACAATGTATTCCTACGAGAAAGTCAACCGTGACGACGACAGTGACCAGGGGCTTCTGGCTGAGGACTCGGAGAGAGTCGCACCTCAGCCCAGAGCCTCCAGATTCCCCAGCTGGACGAACGCTTTGCTGCTTTTGGGACTGTTGTTTTCGCTCTCACTGAACGTGGGATGGTTTGTGTTCCAGAAGGGTCACAATGTCCCCATTCAGGACTTGGATCCTGATGCGGCCATGGCTAAGCAGCGGTCTCCTTACAGTACGTACTTATCTCACAAGTCTCAACATGAAGTATCATCTCTAACATTGCTTCCTATGACCAGCCGGTCTCGCATGGGATACTCACCTGCCTTACTCCCACCACTCCGAGTATACTAGCGAGAACAAGACACATGCGGATGAGATGTGGGAGAACCTGAGCATGGACCCCATGGTTATTGCTCCCACCTGGGAATGGGCTCAGAGCAAGGGTCTGTCGGACTCTTGGGCTTTCCCTTGGGATTCGAACCGAAGGATCTACTTCGTCAAGGTGTTCCATCAACTCCACTGTCTCGTGAGTGTCACCGTCGCAACATTGCATACTCGGGGTAGACGCTGACATTCTACTTTTCTCTACCAGAAACTTATGCGCCACTCTTACCATGAACTCTGGTCCGGACAAGAGAGCTCGATCCCCGCTCCTCATATCGAACACTGCCTCGATTCCCTGCGACAGGATCTGATGTGCAAGGCCGATGATACCCCCATGCCATCTCTTCAGCTGCTGAATGGTGGTGGAGAAGGCCAATTAATGCAATGCAAGGACTTTGATAAGCTGGTCGCTTGGTCGAAGGCACCGGAACGCAATGCTTGCTACAAGCGACTGACCGACTACAAGCCGATCGTCCATAGCATTGAGCGCTACGCTTTCTGTCCTGAGGATAGTGAGCACTACCCGACGATGAGCAAGTATTTCGAGGAACACGGGCATTATGCCGATCCTTTTTCGGAATAGACAAGGGCGAGGCTGATTTGGTTCGGCTGGGGGAGAGGGTGAGAAACTAGCCAAGAAGGGCAGCCGAGAGGAGGGGAAAAGGGACTTTTAGCGCAGAAAACCCTAGTCAGCACCTAAATTAGCTTATTTAGCTTCAATGCAATTAAGAAAGTAGCAACGTTTAGTGGCCAGTAAATCTGCAAGCCCCCCCCTGCAAGCCCACTGGGGGCCAAACAGTACCACCTTCTGTTTTCTGTTAGTCTATTAGCCTGGTCTGAGTGGACAAAGTACTTTATCTGCTTATCTGCTTACTGTCAAAGGAGCATCAAGCCTGATCAGCCTCGGTCTGAGCGCAAACCCTTTGCTCGTCCGATCTTCCCCTCCATTCCTTTCATCCCGTTCCTCTTTTTTTTTATCACACATCGGCTCCTCCCTTTCATCTTCAGTCTTCCTTCCCATTCCATTAACTTTTGAATCATTCCTACCTTCTCATTGGCGGTTACTAAACCAGTCCAAAATGGATGAGGAAGATGGCCATTGCAAAGAAACCGAGGTCACCGTCCAGTCGACGAGCCCCGTTGACTCGGCCGATTATGATCCTTTTGACCCCCAAACCCGCTCCACCACGTACAAGTGGATCACCGTCGTCCTTGTCGCGGGATTGTCAACCATGGTGTAAGATTAAATCCCCATCAATAAACTCAATGTCAAGGTGTCTGACAGTTGCGCCCGGGAAAGTCAGTTGTCCACCATCATAGCAGCCCCCGTATCCCCGTCCATTCTGTCTCATTTCCATTCCGACAATGCCCTCTACCGTACCCTCATTGTTTCCATCTGGGAACTCGGAGAAATCATAGCGCCATTGCTATGGGGACCGCTTTCTGAGCTGTATGGCCGACAATGGCCTCTGAATATTGCCAATCTCTTCTTTGTGGCCTTTTTGGCTGGAACTGCTGCCAGTACTAGTATCCAGATGCTGATTGCCTTCCGGTTTTTGAGTGGTGCGGCGACCGCAGCATCAGCCATCGGTCCTGGTATCGTCAGCGATCTCTTTCCCGAGGAAAATCGCGGACGTGCCATGTCTATTATGTCCTTGACCGGTGCATTGGGACCAGTTGTAGGTCCCATCATCGGTTCCTATCTGGGTGAAAAGGCCGGGTGGCGATGGGCTTTCTGGTTACCGACTATTGCGACTGGGACTCTGTCCCTGCTCATTCTTGTCGTGTACCGTGAAACATACAGCGTCACTCTCCAGAAACGCAAAGCCAAACAGCAGGGTCTCGAAGGTGGCACTGAAAGTCCCGAAAATACAGAAAAGACAGCTAGCCACGTATTTTTTAAGACTATCCTCCGGCCACTCCGTCTGCTCATCCGGTCTCCCATGCTAATACTGGTTACCCTGTATCTCAGCGTGGTCTATGGTTACACCTACCTGGTGATGACAACCATTGCAACACTGTTCCAGGATGTGTACGGCTTCTCCGAAGGAGCATCCGGTCTAGCCTTCCTAGGACTGTGTCTTGGGCTCATTCTCGGGGCCTTCCTGTGCAGCTTCCTGCTAGACCGCTATGTGCGCACAGCCCGGGCACGGTCCGGCACTTCCAAGCCAGAGCAGCGCCTGCCCCCTGTCCTGATCGCATGCTTCATCATGTCAGGTGGCCTTTTCCTTTTTGGCTGGACTGCGCAGTATCATGTGCAATGGATTGCGCCAATTATTGGCACGGGCATCATTGGGTTTGGGCTGGTGTCTACCACCATCACTTTGCAAACTTACGTCGTGGACCTCTTCGGCATCTACGCCGCGAGTGCTACCAGCGCAATGCTGGTTCCCAGGAATGCCTGCGCCGCATTCCTGCCCCTTGCAGGACCGCCACTGTTCAAGCACCTTGGATATAACTGGGGCGGAACACTTTTGGCGCTGATTGTTTTGGTGTTCTCGTTGATGCCCTTGATCTTCATCAAGTATGGCGAGAGACTGCGGGGAAAGAATTTGCTAGATGCTTGAGATGTCGAGGGTGTTTGTATAATATATTTAGTATGACAAAAGCATGAACAATGATAGTAATGATGTTGTTTGGGATTGATCCCACTTTCGCAGTTCTTCCCTGTTTTCGATGAGCAAGTCACGTTATCCTTCTGCACGGTCGCAAATGAGGCTGTGCTCCTAGGGCATCGATACAGAAACAGTCGCAAGAGATACCCTTCTTGGACTCGAGGATGATGCCATGCCCAAAGTCTAACACTACAGCAATGATGCTTGTTGGTGCCCTGTAGGCAGCAGGATTGTGATTCCCGCAGCCATCCGTGACGCTCCACCTTCCAAGCTTCTGACAGGTCCGTGCCAACTCATGATCCTTCCGATTGACGGCGGATAAGTATATAATGCACTGGAGGCGCAGTTCCAGACCAATGGAACGTCTTGTTGATACTTGTGCTCTGACAATATTATATGACATGTCGATCGAAGCTCTTGTTGGTACCCGAAGGAGCATGGTTTGCCGTTACCATGGGTAAGGCTGTGAACTGCCTCAATTCCTATTTATGATCGAGGCGGTTAGACCACTAGCTATGCAGATCTGCTCAGCCCAAGTGGATTTAGTTGATCGTGGCGCCTTCACTGTGGATACAAAACAACGAATCGCAGACTCCGGATGCCCGTGGCTGGTGAAATTGCCCGCAATATGCGCAGCAGATAGTTCTTTTTGCTTCCCTGTTTAAAGGCTTCAGCTGCGCTGGGACGTTATTGTCATTCATACTACTCTCCAGGGCTGGATATGACGCACTGCTACGGAGTACTGCATACTTGTTTAGGAAGGCCTTGCGGGGGACCGATCACAGCGAGGTTGAATGGATGGCACTGAATGCTACATGCGATACAGGCAACAACACCTCGATCTGAATATGGTATCCAGGATGTTGAACGCACATATTTATGTGTATATAATGGTCTGTACATTCGAGTCTGAAAGTCCAACTTTAGCAGCATTCTAAATTCTCTTTCAGTCTCGGAAACATCGTTGCAATGCTACCGCTTCTAATCTCAGCAGCAGCTGCCACTCTTGCCTCTGCCCTGGAACTTCCCCAAGGTTATGCGCCAGATCCTGTCTCCTGCCCAACAAGTTTACAATGGATCCGACCGGCAGTTGGACTCAGCAGAGATGAATTGGAATGGGTCGAAGGGCGCAAGAAGGTCGTCCTGGGCTCACTAGAGGCATATCTGGAACGACTCAACCTGGACGACTTTGACACAGATGAATACATCTCGCGTCTCAACTACACCAACCAAACCCCAGTTATGGGAATGGCCATCAGCGGCGGAGGTTTCGGATCCGCCTTCACCGGGGCAGGTCTAATCCGTGCTTTGGATGACCGTCTTCCCGCAGCCAACGAGCAACGTACAGGCGGACTTCTGCAAAGCATGACCTACCTATCCGGCCTGTCCGGAGGATCCTGGCCCGCAGTGTCCTTCCCATCATACAACTTCCCTACTGCAGACGAGATTGTCGATTACTGGAAACCGGCGATTGACCGATTTCTCACAGTCACAAACACCTCTGCTGAAGCTGCCACCGAAGTTGTCATGTTCGAACAGATTGCTGCAAAGCACATGGCTGGCTTCGAGATAGGTATAAGTGATTATCTGGGGCGGGGGTTCGCGTACGAGTTCATACCCGGACAATCCGGGGGCCTGAACACCACGTTTTCGGGGATAAGGAATCTGAGCAACTTTATCAATCACCAAATGCCGATGCCTATCATCCACCTGGCTTCAGTTGAGCCGGAAGATGCTGAGTACTACGACCTTTTGGTACCGTCATCTAATGGGACGATTGTAAGTAACGCCCCTTCTCAATAAACTACCAGCTCCAAGCTAATCCGGTTAGTTTGACTTGACTCCCTTCGAATTTGGCGCCTGGGACGGAGATGTGCATGCATTCACACCCACTGAGTGGCTCGGAAACCAGCTGTCCAACGGAATCCCAGTTAATTCAAGTACATGCTGGAAAGGATTTGATCGATCCTCGTAAGCACCTTGGAGTCTTTAGACTCGCACACTTCTAACTATATCCTAGACTGGTCATCGGCACTTCCGCCGGCGCCTTCAACTTCTGGTATCTCGAAAGCGTCTCCAACGGAACCCTCGGCCAATTTGCCAAACGTTCCACCACCCACAAGTCCTCTCTTGCCAAACGACTCAGCAAACCCGCCAACCTTAACGGACTCGTCGAAGCGTTTGCCGACACCTTCGATCTAAACCTAACAGAAGTTGCCTACTCAACATTCCCCAACCCATTCACCAACCTCTCCCTCTCCACCGGCAACGCTCACACATCCTCAACCCTAAAACTCGTCGACGGCAGCGAAACAGGTCAAACGATCCCGCTCTGGGGTCAAATCCAGCCTGCACGCAACGTCGACTTTATCATAGCCTGGGACGACTCCCAAGACGCAGACCCATACTCCTGGAACAATGGCACAAACCTCTACAACACATACCTCGCTGCCAACGCAACGGGACTTCCCTTTCCCGTAATTCCACCCTCCAAGACAATGGTGAACCTGAACTACACACTCCACCCACAATTTTTCGGCTGCGATGCGAACCTCACTACCACAGGCGACGATCGTGCCCCGATTGTGCTGTACATGGCCAATGCGCCGTATAGCGCATACACGAACTTCTCGTTCTGGCAGACGGCGACGAGTCGCGAGCAGATGGAGGACATCTTCATCAATAGTTTCGACATTGTGACGCAAGCGAATGGATCGTGGGATGGGGAGTGGGCGGAGTGTATCGGGTGTGCGGCTGTGGAGAGGAGTTTGAAGAGGGTAGGGATGGAGAGGACCAGGCAGTGTGAGCGGTGCTTTGAGAGGTATTGTTGGGATGGGGAGCTGGATGAGAGGGAGCTGATTGAGATGGATCCAGAAGTTTTGGACCCAACATTGATTTTGAATCCGGGGGTGGGGTTTGAGGTGTGGAATGCTACGAATCCTTATTGATTGTCGCCATGATTGGGGTTTGGCTGAAAGCTGGCAGGGAGGCAGTTTGCTATTAAGGCATTATGATTAAAGATGTGATGATTTGTCATGACTACTATATAGACCAAAATGATATGATACTGCTAGTTGGAGAGAGTCTAATCATATTTGTTCGAATACTAACTCACTGTATCTTCATTATGCGACAAATATAGACATCTAACTACAAACGCAACACAACCTTCCCAACCTGCTTACCCTGCCAAACATACTCAACAGCCTCTTCGGCTTGCTCAAACGGAAACACTTTATCAATAAGGTCTTCGAGCTGCGTCTGCGAAGCCGACAGTGCCTCACAAAAGTCCTCCATATCAATCTTCGAGCCCGCGTTAATGCCCCTTTGCAGGTCAGTAAACTTTTCCCATTTCCACTACTTCCCACAACACTCACCTGAGGTTGATCCTCCGATCAATAAGAGTCGGCACCAGCTCTCGCAGCTCAGACGAATCCTGCTTCCCAAGATATCCCACCTGACTGACCACCCCGCCACGACGAGTGCATCGCATACTCTTGACAAGGGATCCCGTTCCGCCATTCTCCACCACCAAGTCCACGCCAACACCATCAGTAAGCTTCAACACCTCTTCATCCCACTCTGGTATGTTCTTATAATTAACCGTCAAGATAGCGGAACCAGAGTACTTCTCCTTAATATCCTGAAGCTTCGTATCACTCGACGAAGTCAAAATCACACGCAGACCAGCTGCAAGCGCTAACTTCAGCGCAAACATACTGACGCCCCCGGTCCCTATAACCCTTCGTCAATTTCAAATGAACCCACTACTTAGAATAAGAATGAAAACTCACCCTGTACCAAAACCGTCTGTCCAATCCTCATCCCCTTCAACGCCGACCACGCCGTAACCCCTGCACAAGGAATCATCGACGCCTGCACCCAATCCAAGTAAGTCGGAAGTTTACACAGCACACTCTCATCATAAACGATGTAATCCGCCATCACCCCATCTTCGTCAGCAGCCAACCACGACCGTTTCGTCGCACGCTCTGTAATCTGCTCGGTGTCTGTGATTGGCGCCGCGCGATCCCCAACAACCAGGGTCTTCACTTTGTCCCCGGTGGCTATGACTTCCCCGGCGGCGTCGTTGCCCAGGATCCCGTGGGGGAGAACGGGCCATGGGTTTCCGCCGTTGGCGATGTTGGCGTCGCGGTAGTTGAGGGCCACGGCGTGGACCCGGATGAGAACTGCTGTGGGGGAGAGTGGGAGGGGAAGTGGCTCTGTTATGATGTTCACTTTGGGGGTGTTCGGGGTGTAGTCGTCTGTTCGGCGGACGGCGCGACGGTGGGTGGGTTGTGTGGAGGACATCTTGTTTGGTGGATTGATGTTGGTTGATGTATACGGAAGGTATAATGATTCTGTACAAATTGATATGTTATTCTTGTCGTTATATACCCCGCGTTCTGGATGCTGTTGGCCATGGTTCGGATGGGACAGCCGAGCCGATGAGAGAAGAGGGCTTATGAATCAACCCATGGGGTTTCCGAGATCCGACATCCGAGACAATACTCGGGTTGATAGGATACCCATTGTTTCGGTTCACAATAAAAGGCTAAATACAAGGAGAATAATTGCCCATGAAAAGCTACTTATGATTTCTAATTTTTCAGGGCTCGGGGTATATGTGTACTTTTTAGCTGTCATCAGCGGCATACCCGGAAAGTTCTCATGGATTACGCAGCGAGACTGGATCAACACCCCCAACCCGCGTCCTCAATTCCAGTCGCAGCATTATGCTAGCGTTGACGTCAATTGCTATATAATCCTTATGATAGTGCTATATTATGACAAGTATCTCCTCGGAGTTCAGCATTCTGTCCGGTTTCTGGAAGTGCCAGACATCGTCATTTCCACGTTAACGGTAACTACTTTAGTCGGGATGATATACCAATGATGTAATAGTGGCCATTGCCAGATACAACAATCAGTATATAACCACCACCTTTGCCAATCTTATACTATTCCTATCATCAAGATCATATTCACATAAACAAAATACGAGCCTTAATCAATTTAGAACACATCACTTACCACTCTCAATACGCTCCACCCATTACAATAATTCCACCGCTATCCATTATGGCCGACCAACCCCCCATGGGCCGCGACTTCATCGACGCAAAGAACGTCGACCCTATCGACCACAATGATCAGACCGATCCCGAAGACTCCGCTAGCCAGCCTCGTTTCCCGGGCCCCGGTTCGAGCACAACTGCCCCTTCCACCTCGAAGCCACATTCGAACAAGTTGTTGAACAAGCTGGATCCGCGATACGACAATGATGTTTTGGAGTCGGAGAAGCAGGAGAAGGAGAAGGTGCAGCGGAGGGGATGGGATTAAGTCTGCTTTTACTTGATATATCAAGATAAATGAAGGGAGAGAGGAGGATGATGGCTTATGATCATGTATACATGTTTTCGAATTTCCCGAGAGATGCTCTCCGTGATAATGTTATACTCATCAATTATGATACTCTGGTTATATATTGTATAATATATGAAGGAAAGGTATGAAAGAGCTCAAGGTATGAAGGATAGAAATCATGCCCCATTGATAATTGCGTTGGCGATCTTCTCCGCAAGCATATCTATTCCGCGTTAGTATCTGATCCTCATCGAACCACAAGGTGAAAGGTATAACTTACAGACGGTAGACTGAGGGTGTCCCGGCGGCAAGAACGGGAATGCAGACGCATCCACGACTCTCACACCCTGGACTCCATACACCCTAGCCTGACTATCCACCACCGCCATCTCATCGTCAGACGTGCCCATCTTGCACGTACAGGCGGCATGCCAGAGCGTCATGACGTTATCCTTGATCCACTGGAGGATCTGCTCGTCTGACTGTACCTGCAGACCGGGGTTGTACTCCTTGCCAATGACGACTGGCGCCATGGCCTTGCTCTGGAAGGCCGCGCGAACACGCTTGAACATGGCGATGGCGACTTCCTGGTCAGATAGAGTGGCGAGCCAGTTGGGGTTGATGACGGGGAGGTCATCGGTGTCAGCAGAGCGAAGCGTAATGTTGCCGCGGGAGGTCGGGGTGATGAGCACCGCCAGCATGGAGGCGTACTGGTACCCGTCTTGGGGCTGGGTGGTGAGCAGATTAGACACGTTGCCCATGTATCCGGCGCCGGAGATGTACTGTATTGCATTAGCGTGTCTGCAGTATGATGCATACATGCAAGTAAATAACACATACCTCGGCCTCAGGCCAATCACTCGGGAAGGAAGCCAGTTGCTTGGTAGTTTGGCTGCTAAAGGCACTACGCAGAGCCGCAGGGATCTTCTCCCAGGCGAGGTAGTCCGAGATAGGGTTGGTAAGTGGGCCGTTGCCGAAGCCGACCATGTTGATGAACTGGCCGACAATACCGAGAAAGTCATTGGCAATCGCGGTGAAGGTCTGCACGTTGACACGATACGAAGGCGCAAAGAACGGGTGATCCCACATGTTCTGACCCACGCCCGGACGGTTAGCTACGACCTGAATGCCGTGTTCCTCGAGCTGGTCTTGCGGACCAACTCCAGACACCATGAGCAGCTGGGGAGACTGGAAGGCACCCGCGGAGACGATGACTTCGCGGTTTGCCTTGATGGTGAAGATGTTACCCCCGGAGCCCTTGACCTGCACGCCGGTCGCCTGTTTCTGGTTGTTGAAGATGATCTTCTTGGCGAGGGTGTTTGCGTACGTGGTCAGTGTCGAAGGTTTGTTCGCAAGGAATGACTCCTCGGAACTACTCCGGAGCTCGCCGCTGGGGTCGATGGTTGATGCGCAGTACTGGCCGCCCATCAGTGATCCCAGGTTGAAGTCCTGCGTCTCGTTGATACCAATGGCTTTCATGCCGAGGTCCATCCATGTCGAGAAGGGCATGGCGTAGTTCGCGTACGACACCTTCAACGGGCCACCAGTGGATTCGTACGCACTGGCATCATAGCCAGCGGTGGCATTCTTGGCCCGGATTTGAGCGTTGGGGGGTGTGAATTTCACGCTGGTCTTGTAGAAGGGCAGCGTCTGGTCGAAGGTGTAGCTGCTGTCGTTGACGGCAGTGGCCCATTGCTCCATGGATTCGATGGTCGGCCTGGCAGACCGTTAGTAGGGTCATTTCTGAAATGGTTCCGAGCAGAAACACATACCGTTGATAAATCATAAAGTTCATCGCGGAGCTGTATATGCGTTAGCTTTGTCCCTTCTGAGCGATATGCGACACCTACGATCCACCCCAGCATTTCCCCCGAGCATAGTGAATGGACCGGCCATTCGCACCAGGGACATTCTCTGCGACGAAACCCCAGTCATGAGCAGCAGCAGTTTCTGGGTCCGACCCAACTGGAAGCACGTCCGCAGCAGGCACCTCGGCCACCGACTCGAATTCATATGATCCTCCAGCTTCAATCACTGCCACCTTGAAATTCTTCTGCGCCAGCCGAGTTGCAATAGTGTTTCCACCTGTACCGCCACCAACGACCACATAATCGAATTCCGAATCACCAAACAGGCCACGCTCGTCATAGTTGTGCGAAAGAGTGTCAGGGTTGGCAATGGTCCCGGTGACCATGCACTGTAAAGCGAGTGACAAGAGAACGCGACGGATCATCTTAGAGAATTAGTATCACGATATAACACGCTGCGGAAGGACTTACAATGAGTGAATCCGAAGGGAGCGACCAGGATGGACACGAAAAGAACGACGCGCTTGACAGGGAATGGTGTACATTCCGTCGGCGTCAGGGGTTAAGTATGCTGCATGATCCCCCTTCGGTCCGACCAAGCTGAGATGCTACCTATTATTTCGAACTAGGTTTCACCTGTCTGGCCCCTGTCCGAATGTAAGTTTACAATCACAACAGAGCTCACGGACATATGGTTCCTGATGCCAGAATGGGGTCAGGATGAAACGGCTATCCGGGCGGGTGGAGATCCCCCGGTCGGAGATGCGGTTCAATCAGGTATGGCCGCCTCATTTATCGGGCGGGCGGGCGCAAATTTGGGTCGCCCACATGGATTCTCCCAGTAATAAATAGTATAGCTCAAAACCTAATGTTTGTTGCTCCTGAATTCTGGTTATATTTGGCCTACTGCGTTGTTTGTTTTCCTTCCGGTCGGGGATGATGTGTTAGGGTTCAACGGTCGTCCGTTATCACTGCTTTCTTGCATTATATTATCGTTTTTTCCGACTGATTATCTTCAGATGAGGATCGTCTGCAATACCATGATTGAGATGATATACTCTTCTGTTCTTTCTGGCTACTAAATTGGCTGTACACCAACACAATGACTGAAATATCAGGCGTGTAGGTCACTTGTTACCCCTGGATAGAGCAAGTTCCCGTATCCCTATCTGGTGACAATCCAGGGCCACGTACGATGACCTCTAGGTGTGTGTGTGTGGAATGGTCGTAGATATACTATGAGTCTTGTAAGTGAGGATGTAAAAAAAGTAGGATAAACCGTGCTATTGATGCGTTGGTGGCGCCTACACTTTGTTTATGCATAATCCAACGTGTTATAGGCCCACACTTCAGTACAGTCGAGTAAAAGTACTTTTAGATCAACAACAGTTGACCAAGTATGGGCACAATTCGATAAATTTCGCTAGACTTCGAGATTTACCCCTACGGACTGCTTTGACCAGTTTCAGCAGCGTCATGTTCAGGTGGTTGCCAGTTGCCAATCCCGAGGCCGCTGCCCAGATTTCCCAATGCGGTAATGGTCGCGAACCACTCTGCTGCAAGCTGCAACTTCGAGTCGCTGTCACATCTCTCCCAACACCATCATTAACTGGGCTGACTTCGAAAATATAGTTTCGATTCATTCCGATGGGTAGTCGGGATGTGATTTCCTTCACGGATCTGATCAACCGTACAGGTGTTCTCACGAGCAAGCAATAGGCACCATGATCCACGGTGATTATGATGACTACGACCGATACATAGCAGACCCTGGAGGGCTGACAGGCTGACGAGACACTGCCAGCCCCAAAAAGAAGCCATGTGTAACAATGAGATAAGATGACATACTGTTCAGAAGCACCATCTCATCAGCCCCGTGGCAACTGGCCAAGTGGAGAGAGCAGACATCACATATCGATCAATGGCCACAATCAGGCTTCCAAGCCGCATGCCACTTCGTCCCAACATTACAGACACAAATCCGAGGCACGCCTTATTCCCAACAAGAAGCGACCTTCATGTGTCAAGGATCCTCAGTTGAGTCAAGCGCTGAGCCGCTACACCAACCAACGACGGGCCTTCTTTTCGAGTGATCTGCAAAGCCGCGGCGATTTCCCCTCGTTAAGCGGCCTAACGAACCCCAAAACTTAACCCGTTCAGAACATCCGATGCCCACATGAACCCCCCCGGATTCTCAATCACATGCGATTGGCAAGAGAATCTTGCCTATTCTCATTCGGAGATGGCCTCCCGCTGCAGTGTGAAAACCCGGCACTCCAGCAGCCCTATATAGCCCATCTCACCCCCTCCTCCCCCCCACAAGGGTATCCTCGCAGATGTGTTGACCACCACCCTTACCACCCATCATGAGCGGTACACACCCTAATCCCAAGGATTCAATGAAGTCTACCTGGCGCCGGCTGGATCGCGCCGAGTGGAGCGTCTGGCACTGGTTCTTCGAGATACTCGGCGTGCACCCCAGCAACCTCGACAAGGAGGTGCCCGTGCATCCAAAGACCGAGAAGATTCCCTACATGAGATCATGGTCTCAGCACCTCTGGATTCTCTACCACGCCCTCCTCCCCCTCGCCGTCCACCACGTCTATGTCTCCTACACGGGCCACAATTTCACCGCCGTGGGCGCCTTCGTCCTCTACTCCGTCGCCTTCAAGCTCATCGCCATCCACCAACTCCAAGTTATGCGCCGCATGGGCCACGCCCTCGGTTTCCTAGACGGCGACCAGCACGGCCGTGACGGCGTCCCCGACGTCGGAGTAGCCAAGGTCGTCCGGTCCCTGCTATCGACATCAACCTTCAGACCCATCATGACCGTCTTCCTCAGCTACCGAGTCAGCCAAGCACCGGCACAGATGAGCTGGGGCTGGCTACCGCTCGAGATTGGACTATACGGCATCATCCTCGACTTCTGGTTCTACTGGTACCACCGACTGATGCACGATGTGGGCAGTCTCTGGAAGTACCACCGGACGCACCACCTGACCAAGCACCCCAACCCACTCCTAACCCTATACGCGGACACAGAGCAGGAGTTCTTCGACATCGCGGGCATCCCGCTGATGACATACTTCAGTATGAAGTTGATGGGAATGCCGATGGGGTTCTATGAGTGGTGGATCTGTCATCAATATGTGATGTTCACAGAGTTGGCGGGCCACAGTGGATTGAGGATGCATGCGTCGCCGCCATCAACGCTGGATTGGTTGTTGAAGTTGATCGGGGCGGAGTTGGTGATTGAGGATCATGATCTGCATCATCGCAAGGGATGGAAGAAGAGTCATAACTATGGAAAGCAGACTAGGCTGTGGGATAAAATCTTTGGAACGTGTCATGAGCGGATTGAGAGTCGGGAGGAGAATGTGGATTATGAGAATCCGGTTAGGATGCCGATCTTTTAGTTGTGTTGTGCGGGGAGGGAATAGAAGGGGGAAGGAAGATATGTTCTTAGGGATGGGTTGTATTTATGGATGGGAAAGATTGTGATTTATTGTTCATTTTTGCGGGAGTTGTATATAATGATGATTTAATGGGATGGAGACTAAGTTATGAATATATGCCTTGTTTATTATCTAAAGTATCAATTAGAATGAGATAAACATGGGGTGCAGGAACCAGAACCTTGTACTAAAGAATTAAGGGGCACTGCCCCGCATGCCTCTCTGCAAGCGAAGGCCACCCAAAATAGCCGCGGAATTATCCCCGGTAAACAGATGAACGAAACATTCCAATCTTCCATCCGATCACCTCACTTGATCGCCATTCTACCCATTGTGTGACACATGCACAATGACATCCCAGCGGATTCACCTCATCGGACTTGGAAGCATCGGGACCCTTATCGCTCACTCGCTTCGCTCTCTCCCCGCACCCCCGCCTATTACCCTTCTGCTCCATCGCGAGTCGGCATACCACGGCTTTCTCTCTGAGGGGAGCAAGCTGCGTCTCCAAATTGGAGAAGATGGGCCTACAGAAGAGAGTACCGGGTACGACGCCGAACTCCTACAGGGTGAATCGCCCATCCATCACCTAATTGTAGCGGTCAAGGCGAGCGCAACCATGCCCGCTCTCAGATCGATCCAGCACCGGCTCGGACGGCATTCCGTTATCTGTCTCTTCCAAAATGGCCTAGGCCAGATCGAAGAGCTCAACGAGCGCCTATTCACGGACCCGCTGACACGACCGACATACATGTTTGGCATTATGCGCCATGGGGTCTACATAAAAGCGCCGTTTGAAGCCGTGCTGGCGGGGCTGACCGGATCATGCGCTCTGGGGATCGTCAACGATGGCCAGCAGGCATCCTCATCATTATCATCTCCATCAACAGCATCTGCCCAATCTCGATTTCTCATCGGCCGGCTGGTCGAAGCACCGATCGTCCGATGTTCCGAAATGCCGTGGATGGAGCTCCACCAGGCCCAACTGCTGAAACTGGCGACCAACTGTGTGGTCAATCCATTGACGGCACTGCTGGATGTGCGGAACGGCTCGCTGTTAGCTGACCCCGAGCTGCAGGAGATGCAACGTCAGCTTCTCCAGGAGATCTCGCTGGTGTTCCGTCGTCTTCCGGAGCTTCAGGGTCTACCCGACGTGCAGGAACAATTTTCCGTGGCCAGACTCGAGGAGCAATTGATCGGGAACATCGAGAAGACGGCCAGTAATTCCAGCAGTATGCGCGAAGATGTGCGGGCAGGTCGAGCCACGGAGATTGCGTTCATCAATGGATGGATAGTGCGACGGGGCCAGCAACTGGGGCTGGAATGTCCTACAAATCGGTGCCTGACCCAGCTAATCCTGGCTAAGACTAGCCAAGGGCGCTAAGCCGGCGAGAAATTGGTGTGGAAAGGGGACACTGGGTCCAAAACAAAACAAGCATAAGCCCCCCAGCAGGCTGAAATGGTCCACAGTCCGTTTTCAGTCTGCGGTATCAGGGTTAGACCAGCAATAGACAGTACACCGGTAGTCGCTAGATGACCACTACTGTACTTCTCATGAGCATGCTAATTAGTACTAGTATATATGTCTTGGATAAATGATAGTCAGGGGTTCATTGATGGATCATATGCCCACATTGAGCAGCATGTTCTTCACCATCAGGCACTTGGGGGCCATTGGGCACGGCGTCCATTACTAGAAGCGGATCGATAGTGCCAGAGTGGTCTGGCTGGCGGATCGAACCAGGCGAAAATTCCATGCAAATCCTGCAAAAAGATTTGCAGGCCTGACTAATGACTCGTGCGCGTGACGTCAGGGAGGCGGAGTTTAGCCTTGGCGTTCGAGGGGCTCTGCTTCAGCTGCCTCAGGCAGAGATCACTCGACCCCTCAGAAATCTGGCAACTATTGGGAACATGAACGAGACATGCCACCATCATACTCAACGGATACCATGGAAGCCATATACTTCCAGTTAAATCAGATTTCCGCCTGGTATCCCTCCTGGCATGTCCCCGATGATCATTCAATCGGCAATCGCAATGAGGAATGGCAGCCGTTCACGGTGGGTCTCCCGAGTGCAGGACGGATAAATCGGATGCTGGCCTAGGAGCCACACCAGTGGAGGCAAGCAAGCTGTTTTCGTTTATTATTCAGGCTAGACCCCCATCGCTCAGTCTTTGTCTGTCCCTATCGGTCCTTCTGCGTGCAAGCAAATCCTGTTGTCCCTGACTCCAGGGCCCCGTCGTCTAGATCAGACCAGATCCTGCTCCCCGCTGGCTGTCAATATGTCTCCCATCGACGAGCAACTGGAGATGGCGGAGGTCGATGCTCGGCCCCATACTAATGGCGCGAGCAAGGAGGAAGGCCTCGAGAGGCCATCATCTTCAGGCACCACTGGCTCGACCAGCTACAGTAGCTCGATTGAATACAACCCCCAGCTGCACACTCTTCATTCGCGAAACACCGAACTCGACCTTGAGCGTCATCGCACAGCCACTTCCCATGCCCTAAGCAGGATCGAAACCCAACGGCTTCAGCATCAGTTGACCGTGGGTGAAAGCGTCAAGTCTCGCGCCTCCCGGGCGCCCTTACCTCGCATGGGCGCCAACAAGGATTATCCACCCCCTCTTCCCGATCGAGAAGACTATGTCGTCGAGTTTGACGGTCCCGAGGATCCTCTATACCCCCAAAACTGGAAATTGGGGACGAAGTATGTCAACTCAACCCTGTCGCGCACAAAAGCCATGTTGATCGGCTGAATACTGACTTATGACTCGCCTAGGGTTTACATCAGCGCCATCCTCGCCTTCACCAGTATCTGCAGTACCTTCGATTCGGCTATCTTTAGCTCCTCAACCACCAACGTTGCGCGAGTTTTCGGTGTTGGCATCGAAGTCGCCACCCTGTCGAGTTCATTGTATATCTGCGGTTATGCGTCCGGACCCTTGGTGTGGGCACCCCTCTCCGAGCTGAAGGGACGGAAGCCACCCATTGTGGTAGCTATGTTGGGATTCGGTATTTTCAACACCGCTGTCGCCGTCGCCAAGGATCTGCAGACGATCATGATCTGTCGCTTCTTCTGCGGTGTCTTTGGCAGTTGTCCGCTGGCGGTTGTGGCTGCCGTTTTCTCCGATATCTATAACAACCGCACCCGTGGTGTCGCCATTGCCATGTTCTCCAGTACAGTGTTCCTGGGCCCGCTTCTGGCTCCGTTTATCGGTGGTTTCATCAACTCATCGTACCTCGGTTGGCGCTGGACCGCCTACATTCCCGCGTTCATGGGCTATGCCGCCTTCGTGTTGAACATATTCTTCTTGAAGGAATCCTATCCACCGATTATCCTGGTCTCGAAGGCTTCGGAACTGCGCCGTCGTACAAAGAACTGGGGCATCCACGCCAAACAGGAGGAAATCGAGGTTGACTTGCGGGAGTTGCTCGTCAACAACTTCTCCCGTCCCCTTCGGCTTCTCTTTGGCGAGCCATTGATCCTGGCGGTGACGATCTATCTCAGTTTCATCTATGGCCTGTTGTACTGCTTCCTGACAGCCTACACACTCGTCTTCCAGGGCGTGTACGGCATGTCTGCTGGTGTTGGTGGATTGACGTTGTTCGGCATGGTGGTCGGTTTGCTCATTGCGGCCTCCTATATCGTTTTCGCTAGTCGGGGGTACAACAAGAAGTTAGAGGCCAATGGGGGCATTCCCGTCCCTGAATGGCGTTTGCCGCCTGTCATGATTGGTGGTGTGCTCTTCGCTGCGGGACTGTTCTGGTTCGGTTGGACCGGTTTCACGAAGAGTATCCATTGGATTGTACCCACACTGAGTGGATTGTTCACTGGATTTGGTCTGTTGATCATCTTCATTCAGCTGTTCAACTATCTGATTGATACCTACCTGATGTTGTAAGTTGCCCTGGCTTATCCCTTGTCGATGAACCCTGTACTAATCAATCTTCCAGTGCCGCATCGGCTATCGCAGCGAACACCTTCTGTCGTTCCCTAGTGGCAGCCAGCTTCCCCCTCTTCTCGCGTCAGATGTTCAACAACATGGGCATCCAATGGGCTGCCACGCTGCTGGGTTGCGTGGCGTCTATTTTGGTGCCTATTCCGGTTGCTTTCTATTTCTATGGTAAAAACCTGAGGAAGCGGAGCAAGTTCGCGCCGTTTTATGATAAGGTTGCCGAGTCTCATGCGGAGGATCCCGTGGAGGAGAACGGCGTCGCGGAGCACTAAAGGCATCATTAATCAACAAAAGTTTTGCATATAGCTATTTGGGCGATTGCTATTTTTCATACCCTGTACATCATTAATGTTAATGTGGATAATCGGAATATTGATAATGATTAGATGCGCGTATCCCGTACAATGTTTGGTAGCAGTGTTGTGTCGTTCGGTGTTGAGATGTTGGCGGCAGATGCAATCAGGACTGTTTGCTTGTTCCTTTTACCGCCATCTGAATTTTCTTCTCGTTTATGTAGGCAATAACAGCAGCAAATTTATGTAATCAAGGTGCTGTAGTGTAGTGGTCATCATGAAACGTTGTGGTTTTCCGCAGCGCCGTTTCGACCTGGGTTCGATTCCCAGCAGCGCCAAAACTGGCGACTGGCTTGATTACTTCTCTTTACTTTTTGCGTCTCGATCAGTGATGATGTCTTTTCATCCTCAGCAACATCCCTTTTTTTTTTCTTTCGTCTTACTTGTTTCTATCGTACTTAAACTCTGTTCTTTCACAATTTTACATTGTATATATACTAGCTGATCTTCCTCCAGCCATCTGCCAAATATGAACATTTGAGATACAACATGGCTACAAGCAGAATCATGCCCATCTCGCACAATTGTAGCTGTAGCTTGGTCTTACAATTATGAGAGTCCTTTGCTGCCTGATAAATTAGACCCTGAAGATAACTAAGTAATTAAACTTCCAAGGAGCCCTCCGCACAGGCAGAATCACGTGCGCTGCTGGTGCCTGGAGGCCCACCTAAGCTCCGACCAATCACATCTCATCTGCCTCGGCAATTCCCCCAGAGCTCAGGCAGCAGCAGCCACGGGAGCCTCAGGCTGGGGCATTGCAGACAAAACAATATCACCGTCCACTCGATCTCCGCCTCATGCTCACCTCTATATAATCATGTTTCTCCCATCTCTCTTCTACTTCTTCTCTAAGCATCATATCACGAGTACCTTCAGCTATCCGGAACTACTCCCCTCCGCCTCTGATCCTCCTGACTAAAATCTGACGACATAATTGCTCTTATCCGCTACTCTCACTATTTCCTATTGCCTCAATTTCACTGAATCTCTTTCCTCTCTCTCTCCCAATTTCATCCTTCCTCACAACTCACATTTTACATTCTACTCATCACCATGACCGGCCAAGCTTTCAAGGGCTCGGTCATAGCCGTTGCTGGGTCCTTTCGCAGCTATACACAAGGTGAGCATGACTGACATCACCGCCAGAAGTCATATACTGACTCCACTCTTACAACAGCACAACTAAAGACTATCGTTCAGCGTCATGGGGGAACATTCAGCTCAGCGGTAACAGAAGATTGCACCCATCTAGTGACCACCCAGAGGGAAGTGGACAATAAGAGTGTGAAATGTGAGTACAAGCCGAGCCCTGTCTGTACCCCTTCTCCTGACAGATTGTAGACACGCAGGCTCGCAAGGTCTACACCTGCAACATTGTCTCCCTGGACTGGCTTATCGAGTCAGACAGTGAAGGAAAGAAGTTGGATGAGAAGAAATTCCTGATGGGCTCCGACGTCAAGAAAGATGATGAACCGGAAAGTCCAAAGAAGCGTACCTTAGAAGAGGCTCTGGGAATCAATGAGGATGGAAGTACGAAGAAGCTCAAGGATGCACAGACGGTTGGCACCAAAGGAATCAACGTCCCTGTTGACGAAACATGTCCTCTTCGAGGTAATAGGCACCAACTCTTGATCAAGTTGGAGGAAAATCTAACCATGAATAGTGACTCACACCGTATACATTGATCCCACTGGCCTCATCTGGGATGCGACACTTAATCAGACGAGTGCGACTAACAATAACAACAAATTCTACCGCATTCAGCTTCTCCACAGAAACAACGAGTTCAAAACTTGGACCCACTGGGGCCGGGTGGGCGAACATGGACAAAATGCTATTCTGGGTAATGGCAACTTGGATGAGGCAGAGTATGAGTTCAAGAAGAAGTTCAAGGACAAGTCCGGCTTGACCTGGGAGAAACGCTTGGATCCACCAAAGAAGGGTAAATATACCTTCATTGAAAAGAACTACGAGGACGACACAGAAGACGAAGACGAGGATGAAGACAAAGTCGTCGCGAAGAAAACCACCAAGCCCAAGGTAGAGGAAGTGAAATGCACCTTATCACCACCTATCCAAGACCTCGTGTCATTCATCTTCAACAAGGATCTTTTTCAGTCCACCATGGCTTCCATGTCCTACGACGCTCAGAAGTTGCCTTTGGGAAAACTGAGCAAGCGCACTCTCCAGAACGGTTTTCAGGCACTGAAGGATCTATCAGAGCTTATTGCCACACCTGCCCTGGCGAGTACAAGATATGATACTAGCTTTTCTGCCGCGGTGGAGCATCTCAGCAACCTATACTTTACCGTGATCCCCCATGCGTTCGGACGCAACAGGCCCCCAGTGTTGAGCACCGATACATTACTCAAGAGAGAGATCGAATTGCTGGAGGCATTGACAGACATGGAAGTTGCGAACAACATCATGAAAGAGGCCAAGAACACTGATACAGTTCACCCTCTCGACCGTCAGTTTCAGGGCTTGAATATGCAAGAGATGACACCATGTACGTCTTATCCGTGGAGTCTTGTTCCTTTGACTAGTACTAACTCTAGGCAGTGGAACACAAATCAACCGAATTTATTGAGCTGGCCAACTACCTCAACCAGTCTCGCGGCCACACTCATGGCATTCAATACAAGGTTCGCATCTGATGTTACCTCTTTTAATGAACCAAGCTGACCGTAACAGGTCATAAACATCTTTCGCATCGAGCGCCAAGGCGAGAAAGACCGGTTCCAATCATCCCAGTACTCCAATATCAAGAACTCCTGTCGCCGTCTCCTGTGGCATGGTTCCCGCAGCACCAATTTCGGTGGTATCCTCAGCCAGGGTCTACGTATTGCACCGCCCGAGGCCCCCGTCAGCGGGTACATGTTCGGCAAAGGTGTCTACTTTGCGGACATGTCGACCAAGTCAGCGAATTACTGCTGCTCTTGGGGGAGTGGAAACCGGGGGCTACTCCTCCTTTGTGACGTTGAGGTCGGCAATCCCATGTATGAGCTGGACACGGCAAGCTACAACGCGGGCACCGAAGCGAAAGGGCAGGCCAAAATTGCTACCCTAGGTCGCGGTCGCTCGATCCCTGGAGGATGGAAAGACGCTGGCTGTGTCAATGAAGATCTGAAGGGGGTGTTGATGCCCGATGTGCAGGTGCCAACCACTAATGCTAACTCGAGGGGGCTGATGTACAATGAGTACATCGTGTATGATGTGGCGCAGATCCAGCAGAAGTATCTGTTCCATGTCAACATGCGGTAGTCTGGCTCTTGTTTTAGAATTTGGTTTTATGATATGGCGCATATATTAGCTTAGCGAGGGCATCTGGAGCGGATTATGGCGTTGAGCAAGGTCTCGGGATTTGTTTCATACTTTGTCGGCCCGGTATTAGGGGATATGATCTTAGCTGACGCACCTGCATAGCTGGCATGCTACTTGGCGGGCTTAATTTGGTATAAGAATATGAACTGGATTATCCTTAGCTGACGATGATAAATTATCTCAAGGCAACGGAGCAACAGGTGTAAGGCTAACTGTATCGAGTATCTGACTATATCTAATGTTCACCTCGATCCTCAAGATCCTCCACAGGGAAAAAGTAGGTAGGGCACGTAGGCTGCATGGCTACAGTAAGATTCGCAACAAATTATAGTCCAACTTACGGATATGTATGCAGTTCTACCAACACACATCCGGTTTGCTGACTACTGGGCCCACCGACTATCTTCCTGGTCATCCATACTAGTACTATCTCCACCGACGATCCTCCTCCCAAATAACGACCAAGAAAGCCGTTTACCCTGCCTATATAGGCATTCTGAAATAATAAATCTCCCCGAAATGAACAAGCATAAAGTCAACTAGACTAGAAAATGTAACGAAATAAAAAGCACGCGTGAGGTTTCAGTAAGGGGTGGATAAAGACACCGAATGGCCCTGCAAAGAAATAACGAAGAACCACTTCTATTGGATGGTCCTTGATGCTTACATGCGTCTTGCGGAACCCCCATCTCAGCCTGCATGAGAAAGGGTTCGGGCGCTTAGAAATGAGCCGGAGTTACCGAGCTTATAAGAATATACTCCATCCCCTCCAACCCACAATCCCTTACCTCAACCCCGCAAAGGGAATCTCATCCTCTCCCATCATGCTAGTCTACCTCACCAACTTTTTTATAGCATGGCTCGCCTACTTTTGGCGACCCAAACAACAACCCTGCAGCAGTCTAACACTGCCGCATATTCCCGGTATTGAGATCATATCCATGACCCGCCAAGAGGTCCATAACTACAGCGTAGCAAGCCTCTCCGCCATACAGTCTCGCAGATGTACACGACCTCGACTTCTGCAACGTTTCCATCATCCTGACTCACCCCGGTGAAAATGACACTGTCGCTGTCTCTGTCTGGCTCCCCCTCGCCAGCTGGAATGGCCGTTTCCAGGCTACTGGTGGCGGCGGCCTCGCAGCCGGCATCATCGGCCTGGCCTCAGCTCGCCCAGTCAGCCAGGGCTACGCTACAGCTGCAACAGATGGAGGTCTCACCTTGAATGGAACCAGTAATCCCCAGATAATCCCCAGACGGGGGCCTGGGCTCTGCGCCCCGACGGCTCCATCAACACCGCTCTGCTAGAGAACTTCGCCCATCGCTCCATCTATGACATGACTATCATCGGGAAGACCCTTACCGAGCGCTTCTACGGATCTCCGCCAAAGTACTCCTACTGGAGCGGCTGCTCCACCGGCGGCAGACAGGGATACTTCGCCGCAGCAAAGTATCCGAGTCTCTTTGACGGAATTCTCGCCGGTGCACCGGCCCTCAATTTCCCACGTTTAATCGGATATATGTCCTGGCCGCCGGTGCATATGTTCCAGTCCGCAGCGCCGCCGCAGTGCGTCTTTGACGCATTCCTAAAAGCAATCATCGACACATGTGATCCACTCGATGGAGCCACGGACGGGTTAATATCAGATTACAACCCACAGAGCTGCCCATTCGATCCCGAAACACTTGTCGGTCAAACGGTACCATGTCCGGAGATGGGCTCAGATTCTCCAGTGACCATTACAGCCCAGCACGCCACCCTCGTCAAGCAAATCCTGCAAGGTCCCGAACTTCCAGATCACCCCAACCTCTGGACAGGACTCCCACCGGGCGCCTCATTCCGCAGAACGGCAAACACCGAAGTCATCAACGGATCGATCGTCAGACCAGTCCCCTTCTTCCCCATCATCGGATGGATCAAGAATTTTGTCTTTCGGGATCCGGACTACAATGTATTCGATATGAATCTCGATGACTTCGACACTGTCTACCGTCTCACGCTGGACGGCTACAACGGCATTTTCGGCTCGGATGATTTCACTCTCTCTGATTTTCGTCGCGCAGGGGGGAAGCTGTTGACCTGGCACGGGTTAGCGGATGAGCTGATCCCAGCGTCGTGGACGAATGCGTTTTGGGATAGGGTTGATAGGAAGAACGGTGGCGATGCGGATGAGTTCTATCGAGTGTTCCTTGCGCCGGGACTGGGACACTGCTCGGCCGGGTATGGGCCGAGACCGGTTGATCCGTTGGGTGCATTGGTGCGCTGGGTGGAGGAAGGGAATCCGCCTGATCGGCTGAGTGCGGCGGCTGTCAGGGCGGATGGGACGGAGGTGACGAGGGAGTTGTGTCGGTATCCGGCGACGTTGGTGTATGATGGGCATGGGGATGTCAATGATGCGGGGAGTTTTTCATGTCGACCTAGGCAGGCATGATGGTTATTATGTTATACATAAGTACTATATATCGTCACGGTATTGCGGGCAGCTTAGAGGTGGGACACTGGCACTAGCTTAGGGCTGAATGACTTGGAATAGAATGTGCCTTTCGTTGTCCACATAGTGACTACAAGGGCTTCAGGTAGGCTAACATTGCAAGGGTTACTCTAATCTGTTGGAAACTCATACTGGTCTGACCTACTTTAGCCAGACAACTGTGGCATACGTTTTAAGATCCTTAATAATAGGGTGAGTACAAGGAAGGGGTAGCATGTTCGCCTAGTAAGTAATGGGATGGGTTGAGTCTCGGATAGTGCCAATCTCAGTCTCCATCTCGGGAGGAGTGGATACTGCAATGGCCAAAGACAACAACCACCACCAAAAGAAAAACACAAAAAATGGAGCTGCGGGGAATCGAACCCCGGACCTCTCCCATGCTAAGGGAATATTATACCACTAAACCACAGCCCCATTTGTTGAAAGACAAGGGTCTACATTCGCTATATAATATGAGACTTACCATAGATCGAAGGAATCGAGGTGACAGGTGGTTGTGGTGTTGACAATCCACCTGGAGGGCGGTTGGTGGTCATAGCATTCTTAGTATTAGATGCCTGATCAGAAAGTGGATATCTGGGGATTTTTTCATCAATTGGTGAGGGACGGTTGAACGTGGTTTATGATGAATGGCATTGTTCAGGTAGACAAGTCATCATCGGAAATATATTCCTCGGACGTGCTGGTTTGCTCAGGGTTAGCCAAAGTGAAAACCAACAATATTGCTTAACCCTCGATCATCAGACAGAGGTTCTCTCCAAACATAAAAAGAGCTGGCGACTCGACCAGCATTTGATCCAGTTTCGACAAATACTGTACGACTACAAGGCACTTAATTCCACAAACAATGCATTCCAAGCGCATTCAAGAGAACCGAAGTTCCAGTTACGTGCAAGAGTCTACGAGAACCTGGACCTGTACAGTCAGATATCCTTACAACTGCGGGGAAGCAGGTAAGCATCAGCGACAAACAATCCCGAGAAAAGAGTCAGCCACCAAGAAGCACCAGGCAATCACAAGGTCCCACGCTTGTAATTGCAAAAGCGACCGTAGCAGAATCATGATGGCGTTCTGCAACCTTGATCGGAGGCCGCTTGTCCAGGTCACACCAACCACAATGCATACCCGAGAGCTGAGCAGTTGCACTAATGCACCATCCATGCAGCATCTCTGATCAGATGTGGATGCGATAATGCAGAGACCAATAAGAAATATATTAATTATGCAATACCGGCACGACCCCTCCTTCAGCTACCCTACAATATAAAACAGTCGGGATCTCGCCCAGCTAGCCCACTGTTCTCCTCGATGCTATTATGTTCGATCCCCCTATCGCCACCATGCCAGTAACGTTGTGGACGGGCGCCTTCGTCGCCCTTACGAGCGTATACATCTTCATCTCATTTTTCACTCGCAAGAGCAAGCATCCGCCTCTACCTCCCGGTCCCCGACGAAAGCCTATTGTGGGTAATCTCTGGGATTTGCCCGATCCAAGTCAGCAAGATTGGCAGCACTGGCTGAAGCACAAGGATCGCTATGGTACGATCAAGCACGCAAGTAACTCTGAAACGAAGGGCTGCATGTCTGACTGCCACCAGGCCCAATCAGTTCCCTCAGCATCATGGGCCAAACCATCATCGTCTTGAACGATGCCCGACTAGCGGTGGAACTACTCGAGTCACGATCGTCGATCCACTCCTCGCGTCCACAGCAACACTTTGCAGAGATGTGAGACAACAAGACCTACCTTATCAATATTGCAGATCAATTGATGAATTGTACAGGGCGGGCTGGAACAACGTCCTCGGAGCGGTGAAGCAGTCTCAGCGCATCCGAGCAACGCGCAAGAACCTGCATAGGGAGATCGGATCCAACAATTCGGTCGCTCGATTCAATGAGATCCAGATAGCGGAGGTGGGTAGGTTTCTACTGAGGGTACTGGATGCGCCGGACAAGTTGATGCAGCATATACGCAAGTGAGTTACCCCTTACCATACATCGGTATTAACCCCTAAGACTGAACCAAAATCACCAGAGAGGCGGGCGCAATTATCCTAAAAGTAGGATACGGGTATACCATCGAACCGCATGATCAAGACCCGTTGGTTGATCTGGCCGACAAGGCCATGGAGGATTTCTCGATGGCCATGCTTCCAGCCACATGGGCAGTGGACTTTTTCCCACCCCGTAAGCCATAGCCCGCAGCTATGCAGAAACAAACCAGACTGACTAGTTGATCAGTGAAGTATCTTCCAACCTGGTTCCCAGGTACAGAGTTCATGAAGATCGCACAACGCTATCGAAAGAATGTCACAGCATTCAGCGATATCCCATATGCATTCGTGAAGGAACAGATGCGAACTGGCCGCTTCGTACCGTCTTTTCTCTCCAACCTTCTCGAGAGCAGTGCTTTCGAGCCCGGATCCGAAGAAGAGAATACTGTCAAGTGGTCTGCTGGATCGCTCTACGCCGGGGGAGCTGATACGGTAAGAACCCTCCGTCCTGGCTTGCTCCCGATCAATGCCGTACTTACTATTCAATCAACAGACTGTCTCCTCCATAGCCAGCTTCTTCCTCGCAATGGCTCTCTTCCCTGAAGCGCAGCGCAAGGCACAGCAAGAAATTGACACCGTGATCGGAACAGACCGACTGCCGCAGTACGGAGACCGGGAACAACTACCTTACATCAACGCCTTAGTCAAAGAGACGCTCCGATGGCATCCAGTCGTACCTATGAACGTTGCACACACCTCGACCGAGGATGATGTCTGCGAGGGATACTTCATTCCCAAGGGATCGTCAATCCTTGCCAATATATGGTCAGTTCTCCCCATTATCCTTTCTGATCCGTAAGACTCTACCACCAACTAACACCCTTGAAACGCATACAGGGGATTCACCCACGACCCAGCCGCCTACCACGACCCGATGACATTTAAACCCGAACGATTCCTAGGCCCAAAGTCAGAGCGAGATCCCCACTTCCTTGTGTTCGGATTCGGTCGTCGTGTCTGTCCGGGAAAGACTCTAGCTGACGTAAATGTGTATTTCACCATCGCCCAAGCCCTCGCTGTCTTTGAGATCTCAAAGCCAGTGAAGGATGGGAAAGTTGAGGATATTCAGCCGGAGTTTCTCCCGGGAGTCATCAGTCACCCAGCGCCGTTTAATGTGTCTATTCGGCCGAGGAGTGCGAAGCATTTGGAGTTGCTTCGGTCGTTGGAGGAGAGGTATCCTTGGGAGAAGAGTAATGCGGAGGATTTGGGGAATATGCAATATTAAGAGGAGGTGCTGGTGGAGATGGTGTCGTGGTGGGTGGGCTGAGACAGTGGTGGCTAGGGCTGTTGTATATTGGCTGAGTGAAGAGTATATTTCGTTCAAGGCCAGTTAAGGCCATTGGATATAATGTTACAGTAGTATCTAGATAGGGATATCCTATCCATGCAGTTCTAAGCAAGGAGATGTTTTACCAATCACCAACAAGCAGATGCACCCGCCTTATGACTTCGACTCTTCGGTATTCGGCCGTCTGAGCCCCTCCATCAGCCACTCATCGAACAAGAACTCTGTCGCAGTCGGTCGATCCTCTGCATTCCACTGCAAGGCCTTCCGAAGCCACCGGAAGAACCCCTCTTTATTCTCCCCTGGAATGTCGGCACCTAAACTTTCCAGAGAGATATCCGGAATCGGCGCCAAGTCCTTCCAATTGCCTAGAGATGTCTAGTTAGATTGGACTTGACTTGTAAAAATATTTGGTCTTACCCTGTTCATCCCAGAAGACATAAGCCAGTTTGCACCGCTCGCGGAAGCTAGCCGGAGGAGGTCCCATGAGCGCTATCATCTCCGCAAGGTGTACTCGGTCATCGAATATGCCATCTGCGTTTCTGCCGTCGAACATGTGACGAGGACTTACGATGTCCCATGCCTATAGTAAAAAATTTAGCATGGAGATAGGGTATAGAATAATTCCGAGGGGGTATATTACCACCATAGCAACATTCCATATATCGACCTTGTAGTCCCAGCTCTCTTTCAAAACAACTTCAGGCGCTCTGTACATATTCGGCATAATGTCGTCGCTGTTTTCAACATCGCCAAAGCGGGCTTCGCCGAAATCACTTAGTAGAGGTAGGCCACTCCCCCCGGGGTTGTAGACAGTAGATAGGTATATCGTTCTGTCTTTGAGCACCTTTCTAGGTGATGGATCATTGACTTCCCGCTCTTCGAGATCCTCGAGTGTCTTGATATCTGGGATAGGGAGAAGCAAGTTCTTCAACTGAAGATCTTTTCTTGGATTAGTTTAACAGTTAGGATCGTAGAAGTAGGAGTTTTTACCGGTGTGCACTATATGAGCAGCAGAGTGCAGAAAGTCCAGAACGATCAGTAGCTGCCTGATACAAGACTTCATCTCGTCCAGAGTCATTGTTTTTCCAGGGATGTATTTTTGCAGGAGTGTATCTGCACTCATGCCCATGGGTTCATGAACGAGACAAACATGAGGGCCGTGGGGCCCGGTGATGGTGAAATGATCAAAGAGCCTGCGAACGAGATCGCTCCCTGGATGCTCAACTTCTACAGAATTTATGCGGTTGTAGATCTCCAGCTCATGGTTCTTTTTTTGACCAGTGACATATATCTTGAGCACCACATACTTGGAGTCACTGAGATCTCATTTTTGTTAGGGGCAGCGTGGCCATGGTGGAGGCCTTTCAGACGTACCAAAGGTCGCGACCTAACCAGACAGTTGATGTCACTCCATAACCGAGCTTGGCAAGTACCTGATACCTGTTACCGAGCACCTCTCCCTGTTGCACAGGGTAGTACTTTTCCGGCTGGTAGGTTGGAAGAGTTTCCTCCTCGATTTCTACAGAGGGCTCAAAGGTAGGGGGATCCGTGGAAGAGAAATCTCGCAAAGATGCAGTCCACTCTGCCGATGACATGATTGTCCGATATGGTGCGCGTATAGCGCCCCGTGAAGGGCAGATGCGTGGGATATAGGGGGGCGGGTGAGAAAGTGGAAGTGGTTTTGGGCGGGTGGGAAGCAGTATGCCTAGCCGGCGAGCGTACCGTACGGCTTGATTTATCATGATGAGCGCGCGGGGAGCTCACCAGATGGAGCCGAGAAGTGGGCGGCTAATAGAGTGTGATACGTAAATGATGGGATGAGTGGAAGCGCGTGAGATCCAGAGAGATCCATTCCGAGGATGTTCTTCCGCACTATTCCTCAATAGTACTAGTGCGTATTGGGAAGGGGCGGTTTGCCGTTTTAGGAAACTGATCGGGACGAGGCGGCTCGTACTGCTTGGCTTTGAAGCGCTCATAGCCTGGGAGTAGAGCGTCTATACTGATTATGAGTTGTTCAGTCCAGAAATCAATTGGCTGGCCACTGCCCAATGTCTCCTCAGGCTTCAGCTAACAGCAGGACGTCGTGACCCAAGCTAGCTACTGCTACTATCTGACAGCCTGATCAACCGCGGATTAGTGTCTGGAAGCCAATCATAAGGAGTACTGGAAAGTGCATCGCTGCACGGAGCAAGGCTGAATGAACGCTACACTCCATCGTGAACAAGGCGGGCGCCTGCGTACTATCAGGTTGTCCAATCAGTACACAGTATAGATCTAACCGCTGCGCAGCTTTCTGAGGTCTCCCTCAACACCAATCGATACAAAGGGAATCAAAAAACTATACTTAGCCTTCTTACCGTGATGCAGTATCGAGTGGCTATCATTGAAGAAAGGGGCGGTGGAGCCTCGAGTCCTTGTCTTTGATCTTGCGTCCATGTACGCGAGGCTGCTTCACCCTGGCCGAACCTGGTCCAAACTGTTCGGGGTTGGCAAACAGACTCCAGCATATAAGATCCTCGCAGATGTCCTGAGCTGTGGACATGTCATCGAAAATCTTCAGTTACAACCCTAGATATTTGTTACCATCAACCTTGAAAGAATCTGACGCTTACCTCAACATCCCTTCCAGCCCCCAATATCGACAATGAGCCGCAATATTATCAGAACTTTCCAAACATCTTCCGCAGCCGCCATCCAGCATATTGGCGCTGAGCTCGCCCAAGTGAGGAGCTTGAATGGTGCTAATGGCAACCGTTGGACAGAACTCGACGCAAATGGTCTGCGAGGCGGTTGAGCGAGCAGTAAGTGTATTAAGCAGAAGGAATACAAACCACCTCGCTAACGACTCCTCTAGGATCCCAGAATCATTTTTGCGGATATTTAGTAAGCGACCTAGTACCCCTATTATCTCATTGTCGCTCTCAAACTAAGATATCTTGTAGGGGGGCAAAAGCCCATGTCTCCTCCAAGGACAGGAGCGACCCGGAGCAAGTGATCACTGTAGGATTGAAGACACAGGGGGGTGTGCGTGTTGGAACACTGCATGTACACCTGAGCGGTTCCTTCAAGTCTTTTCCATCCCGTGCTGGCAGAGAGGGGGGATACGACCACAAAATTGCGCAGGCTAATATCCCCGGCTACCTCGCTGGCGAAAATGACCCCTGGGAAAAGGCCTCTCCTGCACCTGCGAAGAAGTAAGCCGCAACTATCTGTTGCTTGCTAAAACACACTATCTGGTCCCAATAGGAGTGTGCTTCCTGTATTGGTTTTATGTGTCATTATTCCTGTGTCATCTTCGAGGTATCGAGTCGAGTGCATTACATGATGCTGAATCACTATTCTCTAATTATCTTAGATGTATAGTTCGTATATCAAGACATACCCGTCTTTAAGAAGATGAAGGCCCGGAAAGCGAGTTTTCTTGGTCAAGAGAAACAAGTTGTACGCATAATCGACGCGAACCAGACTATGACCGGCAATGGTAGACTTGTGGGAAATCAAACCCGCATGCCCAAGAACACTGATACTCTTCATAAAGATAGATGATAGTAGCGTAACCTATATACACAGTGGCTGGAATACTGAGCACCCCCAACAATCAATACACATACCGAAACCTCGTGTTCTCCTTATCAGTCAAGCCAGCCCACTTGGCCTCATCCACCATCGAATCCTCCACCTTACCATACCGGCTATCCCGTCTCCGGTTCTCCCATACATAATATGCGAACAGCACGACAGACATGACAGCTGCCGCAGCCTGGGTGGCCAGCACCGCAATCTTCGCCGGACGGTATTCAGGGGCATCACGGGCCTGGAAGGTTTGAGGCCCGATGATGTTTCCGACCGAGAAGGAACCGGCGATCAGAGCACTGCTGAAAGCACGCTTCGTGTGACCGGCACAGTTGGCCATGGTCCACTGGTACAGGATTGGAAGGGTGGCAACAATGGCATTGACCAGGTAGATACCGATGAGAACACCGGCTTTGTTGCTCTTGGGGAGGAATGAGAGGAGACCGCCGCCGATAATGCCTGGGATTGTGCAGAAAGCGTTCCACGCCCAGCGGTGGGAGGTTCTGCGGATACCAAAGCCAACCAGGAGGGTGAAGAAGATACTGACAATGCCGGAGGGCATGTTGAGAAGGGCGGAGATGGGACCGGAGTATCCAAATCCGGAGATGAGAGTGGCGGAGTAGGTGGTTACGACACCGCTAGAGACAGAGATCTGGCAGGGTTAGCCTGGAAGTGATAGAGGTGGACTAGAGTCAATCTTACGAGAATGGTGATCAAGACCAACAGCCAGAGCTGGATGTCAAGCACAGCTTCCCATATCTGCTTAAGGTTGATGGTGCTACTCCACACTCCCGTCTGGTTGACACTGACGTGCTGCAGGAGAGCCACCTTTTCTTCCTCAGACAGCCACTTGGCCTTCATTGGGGTGTCGGGAATGAAGAGTAGAGTAAGGACACCAATCAGCACAGTGGCCAAGCCAATGACCAGGAACATGATGCGCCATCCGGCAAGGGTGGCCCCGTGGTGAACATGCTGGAAGCCAAAGGATACTAGACCACCAATGATCTGGGCCACACCCAAGCCATTATACCATAAAGTGAAACGAGGTGCCTGCTCACTTTTTGTATAGTATTGACTGCTGATGAGCATCAGAGACGGTCCAATCGTGGCCTCGAAGATACCCAAGAAGACACGGGCAGTCAGGAGGGTCGCATAATTTTTGGCGCCTGCGGAGGCAGCAGCAGCAACTCCCCAGAGGGCGACATTCGCACCGAGCCACTTGGCGGCGGGGACTTTCTGGAGGCAGTAGACTGATAGTGAATAGATATTAGCACGGTACTTATGTTTGTTGAGGTAAACGGACATACTATTAGGAGCCTCGGCGATCAGATAGGCCAAGAAGAACCACGTTGCGGTGTTGGTGTACTCATTCCCCGCGAGGTGGAGTTCCGTTTTCATTCCCATGACGGCAGCATACTGTGTCCCCCCTTGCGTCAATGAGGGGTGTGTTGGCTGGAAGCTTGCGACGACTTACGTTAAGCATGACCTTGTCCAGAAATTGCAGCACATAGCAGGAGAACATGAAAGGTATCAAATGCCAGTCAATCTTTCGACGCAAAGCCCGCAGATCGATCTGAGAGCTGTCGGGGCCGGCCGCATGGCCCTGAAGGTATTCCACAGCATCGTCGGTGCGATCCACAGGCAGAGCCTGTGAAAAAGCACCCGGCAACTTCTCCTCCATGTTATATCTATAATCTGTCGCTAAAGGACAGAATAGAGACAAAAGCAAAGAGAAAAGACAAGGGGGGTTGCGGGAAAATAATCGAAGAATTAGAAGTAGTCAGAGAAAGGAATGCTGGGATGGGAGGTTACATGCAGGATCCTGCAGGCAAAAAACTACGGGAAGTGCAACCGGATTGGCCGCAGGGATACCATTGGGTTCCAGTAGTTATAATATATTTGTCAAGATAACTGCCTGGCCACTTCATCTTGCAGAAGTTTGCAAATGCTCTAAAGTCTACGCTAGACCAGGGCTCGAGATTTTAGTGCGCGCGATTCTGCCCGGATTCTTCTGGTCGCCGAAGGATTTTGATTGCGAACCCACCAGGATTCATATCATTGAGTACGGTTTTCTCGGCATGACCGAAGTTAATTGCTGAAGGATCATGATTCCGAACCCTCCTTCAGCTCTAAGGACAAGATTTTACCCCTTGTTGTAGGGCTTCAGCATGATCCTGCGAAGCCCAGGATCGAAAAACTCCCTCCAGCCAGCGCACATCACGACTTGCACAATCACTACGCAAATATCCTCTCTTCCTCATGCCTCCTCTCTCTTTCTCCTTGATATTCTACATTTACTGCCAGTATGGGCTGGGTGCACCATGCCTCGCCTGAAGTGGAGGCTGAGTCGCAATACCGCCTGATTTTAGGGGTATGTCTGGGCTTGACCTTGTTGATGGTGATCACTGTCTGCCTGCGCCTAGCGATTCGGTTTAATGCCCGCCGATTGGAAGCGTCCGACTTTGTGATGCTGGTGACTATGGTGGGTTGCCTTTGGTAGTAGACGATCCGACCGCTAACTAGTGTCAGGCCTTCAGTATCATATACAGCGCACTGTGCATCGCTCGTGAGTCCAACAAGCTTTCAGTACACAACAACTGCTAAGGATCAATAGAAAGCAGATATGGTCTTGGATTGCCCTTGTCGCTGCGCCCCAAGGCAGACCTTCCGGATTACACAAAGGTATGCGCTGTGCCTGAACCGATCGAGACAGAGTATTGATAACCACCAACAGCTCAATTATGCCGGTCGCCCATTCTATCAACTCGGAATCGCTGGGTTTAAAGCTTCCCTTTGCCTCAACTATTTGCGATTGATTTCCGGAACGTCCAAGAATTACTACCGAATCCTTATATGGGCCGTGATAACCATCTCGACACTTGGTCATCTTGCGGGAACGTTAGTTCTGATATTCGACTGCCAGCCGGTGAGAGAGAGATTTTCCCCAGTCGCAGGGCTAAATTGCTGATAAGACGATCAAAAGGTTGAGCGCGCCTGGAATCCCAACATCTCAGGGTCCTGTCTTCCAGCAGGGCCGACATTTTATGGATTAGCCATCTTCACTATCATTTGCGACATCACCATCATTATCCTTCCCATTCCGTTATTGCTCCAGCTGAATATCAAGACAGCACAAAAGGCAGGAGTGGTTTGTCTGTTTCTTCTGGGGCTGTTCACCACGATCTGCTCGATCCTCCGCCTCACACAAATCAATCGGGTGGCTTATGGCGATGGGAACTCGACCATGTTGGTACTGTGGGGCACAATCGAGTTCAACGTCGGGGTGAGTTTCCACGAGAGAGAGAACAGAGTGATGCACCGAGCCACTGACCAATTAAATTAGAACATTGTAACTTGTGTTCCCTTTCTCGCGCCTCTGCTGAAAGGTGCGGTGCGCGATTTCCGATCGTACAGTGGTCGAAAAGGGTACGATAGCCGTAGTTATGCTTTGCAAACCTGGTCGAAAGATCCGCGCTCGCAGTTACGGTCGACAACTTCGGCGGCGCCGCAACCCAAACGCACGCCCAGCGAAGAGCTTATCCTCGAGAGTGGGGGAATCGACGAGGGAGGCATTCATATGACGGTGGAGCTGCGCGTGTCGCTAGAAAAGAGGCCAACAACAGAGGCCAGAGAGTGATGCCCGTACTCTTGCCATCGACTGATGGCGCCATTCCGTGAAAACCAATCTCTTAAACTTTCATTATGTATATTAATCACTCACTGGGTCTCCCTCTTCTTCTCGTCCTATCAAGCGCAGCTTTCCGGCGATTCCTGAATAGTGCAATGCAGGAATCTTAGTAGGTGCTTAGCACTATGGGATTAATAGTGCTTACGCTTCTCAGGATCAAACCAGACCGGGATCATACTGGGCCGATGTAACAGAGACAAGCCAATGGAGTCGAGCAGAGCAGGCCAGACCAACCGCCCCCGACGGGATCTTCCCGGCCATCAAGCCCAGCTCCATCCAGGAGGAATCCTGTGCGTCCCGTGAAACCTTAATGGTGGTCCACTCGGGAAGTCATCCCCGGGCGGCCACCGAGCTGTGTTCCGCACACGCCAGCTGGCCTGTTGGTGAGAAATGGGTAATGCGGCCGCCTAATCGAACCAGTAACTGGACATTAGTGTCTGGCCGGTGTGCCATTTAGCTACTAGAGATTTGACACCACTATCAGAATGGAATATGATCCACTGCGGACGGACTGTGACAGATTGACACCGGAGAAGGGACCGCGGTGGTAGGGCTAGAGACCGGCGCTAAGGTCTCAAGCACGACGCCGTCCCCCACGCGATGCCGGCCTAACATTCTTAGTGCTGTTAAGGATCTTTTAGGGCCGGCCTTGTTTCACCTCACGCATTAGACTGGCACGAGACATCCAATGTAACTTTATTGCGTCGTTATTACGGTTTAATTTTGATTAGATTAAGGTTGGCAGAGGTTTCCATTGCCTAATGGCGTGCTGTATCCTAGCTACTGGTCTTCAACTTTACCAACATTGTTCGTTGTCCTCAGCAGCGCAGATACGAGTCTCTGACTCCTTGCATATTCAAGGTAATGATGCTTTCCAGAAGCAACCCTTAGTGATCAGTGAATGCGCATCAATTTCATCGAGCACCTCTCCCAATCTAACTGCAAAGGATAAGCATAAATTATTCAGAGACAAACACGAGCCTTAGCACCATCAAGCCCTAAGGCCACCCAATTAGTATGGTTTTGCCGGCCTGACCCCATCTCAACAACGCCTCACATTCTCTTCCCATTGGCACATTCCCATACGATAACGGTTCCACCAATCCAATTCCTGCGCACCTGCCACATAAGTCACCGTCCGATTCCAACCGGTCCTTGATTACAGCAGTATTACAGCGATGCGTCTTCAGGTAAAAGGGTCAAGGGATGAGCCCGTGTTCCCGTGGAACCGAACATCCGTGCCTCCTCGCTGCCCCCATCATGGCTGATCTTCCCGTTCTCATCGTCGGTGCAGGCATCAGTGGCCTCCTTCTGGCCCAGCACCTCCAGAAAATCGGTGTCCCTTACAAGATCTTCGAGCGCGATGCCGCTATCGATGCACGAAGCGGGGGTTGGGGGTTGACGCTCCATTGGGCGCTCCCTGCACTGCGGGAACTCCTGCCGGACGACCTTGTGCAACGCCTCCCAGAGGCATATGTTAACAAGGCTGCTGCTGCCCGCGGTGACACCGGTCGCTTTTCATTCTTTGATCTCAAAACAGGATCAGCGTTGTACAGTGTCCCCGCTGCGGAGCGAATTCGGGTCAGTCGGGTTCGACTGAGGCAGCTGGTGGCCACGGGGCTTGATGTTCAGGTAAGACCCTCTTTGACTGCCTAGTAAGATGGGATGGAATGAAATCATCCATCATTTTCGGGCCCTCTGACCAGAACTGTAGTGGAACAAAACTCTCCAAAACATCGAGTCCTCCGCCGACACTGTCACCGCACATTTCGCAGACGGCACCTCCTACACAGGATGCCTCTTGATCGGCTGCGATGGATCGCGATCTCCCACCCGCGAGATCTTGTACCCGGACAGCCATGAGATGAATCCACTGCCGGTGCAGATCCTCGGCGCAGCTACTCTATATACAGCAGAGGAGATGGCCGGCGCCGCGGATATTGATCCGTTCATTTTTCAGGGCTCGCATCCTGAATCCAACGTCTTTCTGTTTTTCAGCAGTATGCATATACCACCCTCCTACACCAACCAGCATGTACACAGCAGCTAACTTTTGATTTTCGAACTAGTCCTCGACAACCCCAACAACTTCGCAGAAAGCAGCAAGGACAAATACGAATGCCAGATAATAATATCATGGGCAGATTCCAAGGACATCGCAGTCCCCAGCGACAACAGGGAGCGAATCGCCCTGATGAAATCCTTGGCCTCGAACTGGGCGGAGCCTTTCAGGACCCTGGTCTACGGGTTACCCGAGGACACAGAGGCACGGTCAATCCGCATCGCAGACTGGATGTTCCGACCGCTGCAGAATCGCTCGCATCCTAGAGTTGTGCTGATGGGTGATTCGGCGCATACGATGACTATGTGTATGTTCATACAATGCTGTGCTGTGCTGGGTGGGAGGATTGCATGCTAACAGTGGTATCTAGACCGCGGAGAAGGGGCCAATAATGCCATCGTTGATGTACTGGACTTAACTAGACGTGTGGATATGCGTTCGCTAGGGTGAGTATCAGCGCTTCGTGGGACGTACTACTAGATACTAACCCCTCGTCCAAACAGATCCTTGTCGACACAAGCACTGCGAGATGCATTGGACGTCTACGAGAACGACGTCTTCAGGCGCGCTGAGCCCAGCGTGCTCAACTCGCGTCAGGCCTGTGTCGACGCTCATGACTTCACGCGGATCTTGGACGAGAGTCCACTAGTATCAGCCCGGGTGCTGAAGGAGGATGCCGCGGAGAAGGAATCCTAGTTGAGAACCTCCTAAGGACTCACGGAGAACCAGCATAGAATAATGAGCCTGCGTTTAATAAATCCAAGAAAATTAAACTTCTATGCATCACCAGAACAAACGCAATGTACAAGTACAAGGTACCAGACCTATTTCACATGCCCTACTTCTCATGCCCAACGAAGAAACAACAACGTTATGCAACATGCCCATGCATGACAAAGCCCCCCCCTCATGCAACCCACACATTCATATACAACCATCACCGCCCACCCAACCCCTCATGCGGCGCCCGACCAACCTTCGGTTCTCCAGGCTTCCCGCCCCTAACAGCCTCCCGATCCCCGTCCGAAACGAACATCGAACGTCCAAGCTTATTCTCCCCATCAATAGCCTGCTGGTCTCCCTCAGGGGAGAACCTCTGCTCCTTGCTTGGCGACTGCATCCGAAATGTGAGCAAGGCGCCGGAGATAACCGCGAACATGGTTAGGAAGGCGGTATTCCGGGACCTATCAGTACCTCGAGATCAGTATATTGACAATTGATCCGGTGATAGGGATAGGGTGTGGCTCACTTAGCTCCGGATGACATGCCATTTCCGTAACTTAGACTTGAGTTCGGCATGGTTGATGGTTCGGATGTCAGAATATGACGTATGTATCTTTGGACCAGGATTGGTTGTCATTGTTGGGAGACAATACTTGTTGTTTAACTCCTCTTATATTTGAATCCGGACGGTCGCCACGATGACACAACCATGACTGCGGTGGGATGTAGGTTTGGCCAGACTGTGTTTAGCTTTGGTGAGCAGTGTGTAAGATTTGGGTGGTTGTGGGTTGAGAAGAAGATCCCGGCTACTGAGCTCGGATGGTTTTAGTTTCATCGGAATTGATTTACTTTCAAGTTTTGTTGATATCTGTAGGGTTATATGTCCAGACTGGTTTACGCTATAGATTGTCTTGGGACAATTGTTGGAATTCTTATGAGCGGGAGAACTGGATCGATCCGTGATGGTAGAGTGGGAAGTGACACAGCGCTAGGCATTGGGTGAAGGAACACTCTAAACCATTAGAAACAATTGAATCATTGCATCAGTTTATTCTGTATCGGGTGAGGTGGTTGTATATCGGATGGAGCAAAAAGAAAATGCAAAAAGATATGACAAGAGTGGGATTCGAACCCACGCCCCTTTCGAGACTAGGAATGCTCCGAAGAACATGTGTGATCAGATAGCCTGACCCTAGCGCCTTAGACCGCTCGGCCATCTTGCCTGTTGCTTGAAAGATGCTGGCTGCTTTGGCTATAGGAGCTCTTCACAATCCACTGCGCGTAGGGAAGTTGAAGCTTGTCGCATTCACATGCTACAGACAATGCCTGATGCTACGAGTTGAGTGTCCTATTACGAAATAATATATGCATATTCTAAGACATAGCGTTGATCTCAATGATTGACAGTTTAGTGTGTAATGGTTCGACGATCGATTGACTAGGCCATTGACCTGGATGAACCGAATGTATATATTTTGGGAGCCCTTTGTGGTATGCTTTTTGGTACCAGAAGTGAATTGAAGTAACCCAGCCCCAGATGGATGCCCTCGTCGAGCGATATCTAGCCCTGTCCGACATGCATGATCGCAGCAGCGCTAGTAGTAGGCATCCGCGAGTACAGACTGTTATGTAGTCGAAATTGATCGAATGCAACCCTACAAGTAACTATCGGATACACAGCAATAGAATCGGCTGCTCGCGACCGAGCACGATCTCCTACGTAACCCAAAAATTTCCCATAAATGCACCCAGAGATAACGTAGCCGCATCGGACCGGACAGCATTGATACCGAGCGGAGATAGACTCTCCCCGCTGCAGGATGCGCCATGAAACAGTGATTGTATACCCATTTAGGAAACTCACAAAGAGGATAGTGGGTCGCCGAAGAGAATTGCTGTGCAGGCCGGTCGACGATGACAGAAGGAGAATACGCTGTGCATCATTTCATTCTTAGCTATCAGTAGAAATAGAACACCGTACTCATGATCGACAGCACAGAAGAGACTAAAGGGGTAAAGGGGCCAGGAACAGGAGAGCTTCCCTCTCCGTGCTACCCCACCCCTAGGCAGACACCAGCACAGTTATGAAGAGTAGTTCATGAAATCCACTCGGTCGGATCATCACCGTATCGTTCTTCTGGCTTGGCCGATTTTTGAGTGTACACACCGCGGTGAGGATCGATGATCAATGTGGACGGAAACTGCGAGCATAGCCAGAATTGAGCTGATTTCCAGGGAACAGCTAGCGCGCATATATGCACTAGCCAGCTAAACAACCCATACACAATTAACACCTTCTGGGAGTAGCTAGTAGCAACGGTGTCGGAAGAATTGCGAGGATGGCACATTGAGTTTCCTATTAGTCAATGGGATATTGGGATGAATGTTGAGCATTATCCGGAAGCAAGTATGTTTGCTAGTCTCGGCGACGCTGCGAGCGATTGAGAGATTTCAGTTCTCTCTGCCAGCGAAGGAAAAAACATGGGGAGAGGAAAGGTGGCCAAGCAGTGCCAATGTGCGCCTTTTGCTTGGATTGACTCAGACGCGTCATCCCAGTTCTGCCAGTGCGAGATGTGATTTGCATTGTCAAATCAATCGCACCACAATCAGTCTCCAGCACGCCTAGCTCGGGAACGAGCACGAGCCAACAGGGCCAAACCCCCTCATGGCATGTTATTTAGTTCAACGTTCGCTAATTTATTCGATGCATCGATGGTCTGAAAGCAGCAGTCGAATTGCCAGGAGGCCTGCCTAGCTTGCGCACGAAGGGCTCGTGCACCACGCAATGCTTTCAACGGTCAAAATAAGAGTATGAAAAGGATCAAATATATTGAATCCTGCCGTTCCCACCGGATGTTTTGCTCTTGGCATAAGAGGGGAGGTGAGGGGAAATGAGGAGGCGTGAGGGGAAATACGAACCCGCTGACTAAATGAAGCCCCTGAGCTCCCTGGAGTCTGAGGCACAAGGCGTAGGATGGAGCTATTCATAGATGTCGACGGGGGTGGCCCTTATGCTTGCTTTGGCTTTGTTTTTGCAATTTTAACTAGGCTCTTGTTGCCATGGTGGAAGAAGTCCCAACCAATTACTCGGGACGCCGCCTCCCAAACTTCTGCCTGGGAGGGACACTAACCAGTACCCCAGGGACTAGTACTACGTATAAGGGGTGGTCGACGGCAATAGAGCACATGTGATAGGATCCCCCAGGCCTCCCAAGGACTTGGTAATTGAGGCGATCTTTTATGGGCAAGGCGGGGCGACATTCCGAAAGGGAGGTGACCCCCCGATGTTGTAACTTGTCTCTCAACTGGCCAGCCTAAAGAACGCCACCATAGTACTAGTCACGCAAGAATTTCACTCCACTGCCTGCCAGTCATTCGAACAAAGGCATTGGGGAAACAGAAAAGGCTATTGAGCTCTGGTACACTTTTTGTGCTTTTTTCAAAACTCTCATAACCACCCCCGCCTCGCGTCGGTTCGGGAATCTCAGACGAGAGTTTAAATCTCTTCGCTGTGCCGCGCCATTGCTATAGGACACTGACTCGGCACACCCAATCAAGTTATACTACTGAACTCATTACACAGGACATGCAATTAACCGAGTAGCGTCCACACAGATTGCAGCCAATGTCAACAATTCCATTTGTCGAGAGAGGAGTGTTGGACCACTACAATGGGACCAGGTGGATGTTACTGCGCGGTTTTCTTTTCCAGCTGCGCGCTCCACGAGTGATAGGGCTGAAGAACAGTGTCACCGTGAACAGACTCAGAACTAGCGAAGATTTTAGAAGGACTAAAAAGCGCGCAACCTGACGCACAGAAAAGGATCATCGTGTTTTCCACGAATCTACGGCATACGGCAAGTCCTCCGTATCTAGTCCGGCCCGCGGAATCCGTAACCATGGATCCAGGGCCGTGTCTGACTCTTGTCATCCCCCCCCCCTGGAGATCCAATCTCCACCAGCTTAGATTGATCCTCCTTCTTAAAGAGGCAAGCCGAAGGCAGACCGTGCTTCGAAAGGTTCGAAGCTTCTTTATCCTCCCGCCTTGTAACCGTGGCGCGTCGCGAGGTGATCACCCTAATCATCCCTTTTTCTCTTACCGGGACTCCGCACCATGAACCGACCCAACCCGATAGTGGTTGCGATAAGGACAGGATTGCAATTTGTAGATCAACGAGCACAGGAGCTATTTAGAAACCATCATCGTTGGTGCCTGCGATAGCGCACAACAAGTGCCACCTTGTGTGCCACTCAGAAACGTGGCCGGAGGCGGAGATTTTTCTACCTGCGCCCGTTTATCGCCACCACAGCCAAGCGCAACACGGGCAATGTAGCTTTCCGACATTGTCAACAGAGTTTCTTGTCAATGTTATTCTTATTCACTCGTGGCCCGATACGAGGATCAAAACAAGGAACCAAGCAAGACGTGATGAAAAAAAAGTCTGGAACCAGGGACAGGTCCCATGAAGTAAAAAGTAGCAAAAGTAAAAAAGTACTCCGTACTCCGTCCCAGCTGGGTTTCTCGCATTTTCTTCCATGGCCGAGGATGAAACCCGGAGCCACTTTCTGACTCGCTTGCCGGCTTCCGACTGGCATTGGTCGCCCCACGTGGGCCTGGCAGGAGGATTACTATTATTCTATATTATTCTGGTCTTATTTTGCATAAGCCCACACACTAGACAAGGTCAACGAACAAAGAAAATAAATGAGAAAAAGTCAAAAAGGCAAAAAGTACGAAACGACGTGAACCCTGACCCTTTGCCAAGACAGCTACTGAGATAGCCTCTTTTTCTAAGGCAGCGAGTGATTCTGATGCCGAGAAATCGAAACCATCACCGCTTGTAGTTGTCTGATGCCCTCAACATAGCTCACGATGGTCCAGTACCCCCAACCGAGGCCCCAGCCAGCAGCAGTAGTCACTATCAACCGGCCGATAGGGATTTTCATGCCAATAACAAGCTTCGGTGGCGTTTCTAGGGTTTTCCTCTAGCGCTAGAACCATTGGGACCATCGCATGGAGGTCGCATTCTGAGCCGTCTCCAGGGGGACTATTGCCCTCTTATAAAGCTTGGTTGAGACTAGAGAGACGCCGTTCGCTGCGGAGGTTCAGATGGACAGCTAAAGGAGCCAAGCTCGCTCCCAAAACCTCCCAGGTGGAGATGGGACCCCCCCCAGTCGTCACGGAAGATGATAACTCCTTTCGGCACATGCCCGAACCCGCCCCGGTAATTGCACTGAGTCGTTTCCGTAAAATCCGTCGAATCCACGGTACCCTCGATCGACACTTGACGCGACGTTCCTAATTGGACTTAGAGCGAGTGAGGGCTCCTGGCCACGCTGCCTGCTAGGACCAACCCCAGGGGGTGGAAGGACACAGCGGTTATATAGGTCAAATGCCGTCGGTGGAAAGGAAGCCTGAAACAATTCCACCCCCGGTCACCTTTCCCCATCATGCTGTCCCTGGCGATCCAGTCCTTGCTGTACGAGGCAGACGCCCATGCGGCTAATCCGGCCCTGCAGCGTCGCTCGTCCTCGTCGAGTACCCAGGGCGAGGCTGTTATGAGCCCACTGCCGAGTTTGCAGACCAAGGGCTTGATCGTTATCTCGGCGCTGGCCACCGTCTCACTCATTTGCACTCTTTCCTTGTTGACTTTCTTTACCTATCGTTTTATTTTCTGGAAACGTCACTACAAACGTTATATCGGTTACAACCAATATGTCGTGCTCATGTTTAACCTCATTCTGGCTGACTTCATCCAAAGTCTGGGCTTTATCATCAGTCTGCGATGGATCCAGACCAACTCGGTGACGGCCGCAGACCCTGCATGCTTCTTGCAGGGCATCTGGCTGCAGATTGGTGATCCCATGAGTGGTCTATTCGTGCTCGCCATTGCTGCGCACACTTTCATGCACGTCACCTTAGGCTACCAGATCTCACACCGTCTTTTTGTTTCCATCGTTTGTGGGCTCTGGCTCTTTGGGGTTATAACGACTGTCATTCCGATCGCAGCACACGGTCGGTACGTCTGGTATCCGGCTGTAGCCTGGGTAAGTTGATCTTCTCTTTACAATATTTCTGCAAGTCACTAACATTCTTTTACTCCAGTGCTGGATGACCCCCAAATACGAGTCGATGCGTCTGTGGACTCACTACTTTTGGATTTTCGCCTCGGAGTTCTTCACCGTCGTCCTATATGCGATTATGTTCCTCCAACTGCGCAAGAGGATCGCCGAGTCAGCCATTCTGGGCGAGCACAACTCGGAAAGTCTGACCCGACTCAAGCGTGTCATTTTCCACATGGCGTTATACCCCGTTGTGTATATTTGCCTTACCTTACCTCTTGCCGCAGGTCGAATGGCTTCTGCCAGTGGTCACTCCCCCAGTGTGCTCTACTTCTGCTTTGCCGGATCCTTCATGACTCTGTGTGGCTTCTGTGATTCCCTCATGTACACACTGAGTCGCCGCAGCGTGGTGCTGGAGCCCGAAGCCAGGATCCATGGCAGCAGCAACAAATACTCCAGCCGACCGAACAAATCCTCGGTCGCACACCACTATGGCAACAGTATCGATGGCAAGGGACCGACCAACACCACGATTGCGCGCGGCCGCAGCGACTCCACTGAGGAGATGATCGGCAAGGACGGTTTGGAGCTGGCCCCGATGGGAGTGGTGCTGCAGCACACGACGATCGAGGTCACTCATGAGGCGGCCTATGACTCGGCATCGAGCAATCTGAGTGGCCAACGCGAGCGAAGCAGCATCTACCATTAGACTCCTAAGCTGCCCTGATGATTCTACACCTTCTATTTGAGATTACCGGCCGAACACCGAGGCCGGTTTATAAGATTTTAATCCAGTCGCATTGCCATCCTACTACTCGACCAGTTGAGAAACTGTGTTCTCATTCCTTTGCTTTGCGACAATCCATCTCGCGACAGATATGCGAGCATCGCGCGCCCGCAAGCAATCGTCGCTGACCGATTTGCGACCGACGCGGGCATTGCCTGCAGGTCCCTCCGTACACATTAGAGGACCGAAGCCCTCACTGGGTTAGCGACGACCCAGCTCCGCCACTAGCTGGCGCGGTCATACCACATGCGCCGCGAAACACATCGGAGTTTATTCGAAAGCAAAGCCCATGGCGATCAAATGCCACTTGCAATGGGCAAATCTTTTTTCCAACTCCTAACCGATAACACAAGCCAGACAGGCTTTGCAACGCTTTGACCTGCGCTGGCCACGCAATGAATGAGAATGGCCCCCATGCTAATAATCCTCGGGGATAATGATTTTGGCGGAGGACAGCAACATCTGCCATCTACACTTCACTGTACATATTTCCTTACTGTCATGATACAAGTATAAACGAATGTAAACAAAAAGAATTACCACTATGATGCTGTACCATACATCATAAACTCGGAACATAGCCGACAAGCCAATAGGAATGAACCCCATAATTGAGTTGTCCCAAACCCCGCACGGAGACAAGATCTAAGGTTATCTGCATCTTGTCCCCCTTGCTTCCAGCCCGATTGCACTTCTCATCTATCTCTACTCTCAGTTTACAAATACATACATCCAGCCATCATGTACATGAAAGAAATCTACACCGACTCGACCCCCTCAACCCTCCACACCTTCATCCAACAAAACCCTCTCGGCGTACTCACCACCGCTATCTCCTCCCCTCCACACCCATTACTCCAATCCACCCACATCCCCTGGGTCCTCGACATTCCTCCTCCCACCACCACCTCTGACGATACCAACAACAAGATCAAGCTCCGCGGCCACATCGCCCGCGCCAACCCCCAATGTGCCGCCATCCTCGACTCCCTAGCCACCCAACCTCAATCCCAATCTGAATCCATCCTCCCCACCGAAGTCCTCATCCTCTTCACCTCCCCCTACCACAGCTACATCACCCCGCACTTCTACACTACCACCAAGCCCCAGACCGGCAAAGTCGCCCCAACATGGAACTACGCCGCCGTGCAAGTTTACGGCCGCGCGCGGATCTACAACCCCCGTTCAGAGGGGGAAATTGGCCAGCAGGCCTCGATGTTTCTGAATAAACAGCTTCGTGATCTCTCGGCGCATTGCGAGGGGGATATCATGGGGTATACAACCACCAGCACTAGTGATACTCATAACAACCCGGAAGAGAAATCATGTCCACGAGCATGGACCGTCGACGAAGCGCCAGAAGCATACATCAACATCCTGAAGAAGAATATCGTCGGGATCGAAGTAACTGTGGAGCGCATGGAGGGGAAGTTCAAAATGAGCCAGGAACGAGGGGAAGGGGATCGGGAAGGGGTGCTGAGGGGTTTGAATGGGATGGGAGGGGATGTTGCGAGGGGAGTGGCGGGGATGGTGAGGGGTTATGCTGCTGGAGATAGATAGAGAGTTGGGGGTGGAATATGAAGGGTAAGTTGGGGAGGAAAATACATCAACGGCAAGATGGCCGAGCGGTCTAAGGCGCTAGGGTCAGGTGTATCTGATCAGACATGTTCCTTCGGAGCATTCCTAGTCTCGAAAGGGGCGTGGGTTCGAATCCCACTCTTGTCATATCTTTTTTGTATTTTTTTTTTTTCTTTTCACACCTCCCGTGTATGGAAACTGTAGAGTTAGAAGGAGAATAGATTTTATAAATCGTGTTTTTCGTTTGGTTTTGAGGTCGTTGGCCTTCTTAATTGGCGATGTCTTCTGTATCATCGCTGGCGAGACTACAATATATCTATCACCGATCATCTGTATTCTACTCAGCCAGCTACATGGCTGAACGGTTGATCCACCCATATTTGCACTTTAGAGATCACGACTAAGGAAATACCAAATAACCCCTCTAACATCAACATTCCTTTCATCATCATCCCCGAAAGCAAGCGAGATCAAAGACGGATACCTGAGACCCGTATGGTCCCATTACCACCGGGCAAGTTTCAACCCAAAATCCCAAACAACGGCGGTATAAGAGCAGCCGCACACCGGGCGCTGTATCCTAGAGACAAAACAATAGCCCATATGCTGTCACAAAAATTCAGGTACACTTGTGCTGGATGTTTCGAACCCCACTGTGGCTGCAGGGCATGCTTAGAAAGATTGCTTTATCATTTCCCCACTAGAGCTGCATATATCATGTTGCGGCTTTCCGACGGAGCTGTACAACTTATCACCAAGTTAAATGAATCATTACTGGAGTAGACTAGACCAGACACTAGCATACCTAGCACTATCACAAATGATCCCATGAACATGACAGATCGGGTTGGCATTTACCAGGAGAGTGGCAGTACTATCTCGTAACCGATCAAGGAAGCTTTCGACATGGAATCCCACAAAGTCTGACCCCTCTGAACAGCCACTGTTTGACAGTATCGTGAATGTAATCGACACTCTGCCAAGCTCATCGCCCCCTCGTAGACAGTTCCCTCCCCCACGACATCTCCCGTATCACCATAACAAGCTTCGTATTTTGATAATGCCAAGGACGGATAGGCGAGACTGAAGTCATCTGCTCATCTTGTCGTCTAGTCACCATGCTCTGCGTCATACCAGTGACTCATATCCGACTGTCGCCTCAGCCTAATTTTGAGCTCGAGCCACCAGGTATCTAGAACCAGGGCTAAACACTGAAGCGAGCGCTCACGGCCGATACGGAGTCCGTCGGCACAATGAACCGAACCAGAGTATGAGATAGCTTCATCTAAAGATAACTAAAGTGGGCAGCTGTGGTAGAGAAAGTGAACTATCATGGATAAGGAAAATGAGAGTATGAGGCGGTTTGTCACTAGCTTGGGTTCTCATTATTAGGAACATTAGCGGAGGGGTGGACTGAGCGCTTGGTGGATAGGATTGGTCAGGAATTTTATCGACATTGGCGAGTGAGATGTAGTGGACCCTGATTTGACTTCTCTCGTGAGGCGAGAATGGCATTTAAGAGTTATTGAACTGCTGATTTTTTCCGAGTTTGAGGGGTTACGTTCTATTCGTATAGATCGATTGCTAACATTCTGTATCCTGCGTCATATCTCCCGGTCGTTTTGCATGTCCGTGACATTGTCAAACAACAAGTCCAGTAAACTCCAATTACCCCTTTCACCACGAGCATGATAGTAAAAATCTGCTTATGATAACGGCAGAAGCCCCTCGATCCACCTTATACGAAGTGGATATAGCAGTTCACGACCAGGGTGCGAATCAGGGTCTTGCCAAGAGCTCTTTGATCTCTAGGCGAACGGGCCGATAACCACGAAGGAGGCGCTATTGCCAGGGATTAAATTGCATTGTACTGTGTCAAGGCCCGTTGAACAAGGCTGTGAAACCGGCCAGGACCGACAAACTCAAATGGTCATATGCTAAGCCTTTAATAGCAACTGTCTTATGTTTGTTTCAGTCGAAGGATGGTTAGTTAGCTAACATTAATCGCGACGGCTTATTAACAAACTCCATCGACCGCAATTTTTGCAGGCGTGGAAAGGCGCGGATGACACCATGTCATTGGATAACTAACTAACTAACTAGGGGAGCAAGTCCGCGGTGACTAATGAGGGCAAGATTTAGCGCCGGTCGAAGAATCGGGTGTCTCCGCCTGCATCCGAGCGATGCGAGGCCACGCCATCCCACGTTGGGGTGTCGTCACTGCTGGGTTTGCAAGTGGTGAACAGCATGCAGTTGTCATCTCAATACCTAGCAAAATGGCTAGTTATGATATTCATGCTGTAGTCAAGATGCCATGTCAGAGGCCATGCTTTTGCCAAGAGTCATCATTTCCGGTATGACCGACGGAGTAAACCCCCGTCTATCCACTAGTTCGATTCGAGCGAGGGAATAGTCTCGCAGTTCTTCTTCCTCCTCGGGGTGGCGGATAGAACAGTTCTTCATTTGATGGTTGCCTGCCAATGACCCACTTGTCTAAGTTTCCCCCTTATGGGATTCGTTGGTTGCCAGACAAGAGCCTCTTCACAGCCCAGCGCTTGGCAGCAAAAAAGCAACAGCCCCAGGGTCTGAAGGCTGACATTGGAGCGGGTCTCTGGCGCTGGATGGCTTTCTGTTTAAAAACTCAGGAACAGGCCAAGACGAAGCGACCGCGCAAGGCTGAGCACATCTCCGACTTTCCCGTGCCCCTCCCCTGCGCCTCCCATGGGCAACTTTTTATCCAGATCCATCGTTTCTGCACCGACCATATAAGACGCTCCGCTCCCCCAACTTCCCCCCGACAGGTTCGCCCCCAAATTACGTGAGAAGGGAAATCATCACAGCACCACCATGAAGAGCACCACCCTTCTCTCTTTGGCCTGGGCCGCCCAGTCCGCCTATTCCCTCTCTATCCATGAGCGCGATGAACCATCTACGCTTCAGTTCAACTTTGAACGTCGTCAGATCGCCGACCGGTCCCGCCGGAAGCGATCGACGGCTTCGGCCGACCTTGTTAACCTGGTATTTTGACATCCCGAGTCTGAATCAGGGGAATTGTGACGGTCGCTAATGCAGGTCTTTAGGCGACGAATCTTGGCTACACGATGAACCTCACCCTCGGCACTCCCGGCCAGGAAGTCAGTGTGACGTTGGACACCGGCAGCAGCGATCTCTGGGTCAATGGCGCCAACTCGTCCGCCTGCCCCTGTACCGATTACGGCTCCTACAACACGAGCGCTTCTTCCACCTACACCTTCGTCAACGATGACTTTTATATCGAGTATGTCGACGGCAGCGAAGCCACGGGCGACTACGTCAACGATACCCTGAAGTTTTCCAATGTCACTCTGACGAACTTTCAATTTGCCGTTGCATATGACGGCGACTCCGAGGGTAGGTACCTACTATTGCCTCATTAGTTTGTTCCCATTGTTTGCTAACTGCTTTCCATATAGAGGGCGTCCTCGGTATCGGATACGCCTCCAATGAAGCCAGCGAGGCGGGCTACGGTGGTGGTGAATACACCAACTTCCCTGAAGCCCTCGTCGACCAAGGCGTGATCAACTGGCCGGCCTACAGTCTTTGGCTGGATGACCTCGACGAAGGCAAAGGCACCATCCTGTTCGGCGGAGTCAACACCGCCAAGTACTACGGCAGTCTGCAGACCCTGCCTATCGTCTCCATCGAAGACATGTACATCGAGTTCGCTGTCAACCTGACGGCCGTGCACCTCGAGAAGAACGGCAACTCCGTCTCGGTTAACAACAGCGCCACGCAGTTCCCCCTCCCCGCCGTGCTGGACAGTGGCACTGCCCTGACCTACATCCCGACCTCCGCCGCAGCCAGCATCTACGACGCCGTCGGTGCCACCTACATGAGCGAGTATGGTTACGGAGTGATCGAGTGCTCCGTCAAGGACGATGACTTTACCTTCCTCTTCGACTTTGGATCCTTCAACATGAGCGTTGACATCAGCGAGATGATCCTCGAGACCAGTTCCGACATGACCGACATGAACATCTGTACGTTCGGACTGTCAGTGATCGAAGATGAGGCCCTTCTCGGCGACACTTTCCTGCGCAGCGCATACGTCGTCTACGATCTCGGCAACAACGAGATCTCCCTGGCCAAGGCCAACTTCGACCCCGGCGAGGACCACGTCGTGGAGATCGGCACGGGATCCGATGCTGTGCCCAAGGCGACGGGAGCCACGGAAGCGGCCGCCACGTCGACGGGCTCGAGCGACAAGTCGGACAAGTCGGACAAGGAGAGTTCGGCTACAGTGCCGCGCAGCCAGATTGCCTCGCTGGTGGCGGGAGTCTTGGTTGGCGTTTCCTTGATTCTGTAAATATAGAGATCTCACGTTGCATCTTGATGATATATTATAGACCTTCCTAATTTTACCCCTTACTTCATGGAATGTTTTTCTGTTTTTAGCTTGATATCCCGTCGTTTGATGCTCAGTTATGGAATTGAATGAAACTCGGAATGCAAGATCTGATCGAATAGTTTGTTTCACTGCCGCGTGGCTGGTCCGATCGGCACGAAGCCAGTCAAACGAGCCAATCATACTCTGTGATGATCTGTCAACCCCCTTGCTACTATAATTATTCTATCTTGCCGTTGTGACCTATCTCATTGGCTGTACCCACACCGTTGATGCCGCCCGCGACCGGGGAGTCAACAGCCTGACAAGATCAGAACGGCTTTCTTGAAATTTCGTCGTACTTTCTTATATGGGATGTGGCTGTAACGAGTCAGTTTCAGTCTTTGTTACAGGACTGAGTATCTTTATGACCGGTGCATGTTATTCGGATGATGACGTAGTGTAAACGTTGGTAGGGCATTTAAGGTTTTGTGCCTGTCAACCTCGCCAGTCTTGTCCATCATTATCTCGACGACTATCATTTCCAACCCGAAGCACCCTCCTCTGGTAGTGTTTTCTTTCGTCAATCAGATAAATCGGCGTGGACAGGTTTGAAAAGTACTCGGAGACGGTCGGGAGCAATTTAAACGCCCATCTTATGTGACCAGGATCGAACTAAGGAGATCCAATCTCGAATGAAAGGAAGCAAAGCCACGCAGAACCTGGATGGGGCGAAATGAAGCAACGCCGAGCACAGATAAGTATATGATATATCTTCATCCCAACCCTAACCCGACCAGTCTTCTCTTCCAACCAATTTGAAACATCCTCGACAGTCACCATGTCGTTCCTGCCCCGCCTCCACCTCTTCGAGATCGCCGACCAGTCATGGTGTCCCGACCAGGCGATCGAATATGCTCAGCTATGTCTTACCCACTGCTGGAATTTGCGCCTACCACCAATCGCCAAGGCTTCTTCAGCCGATGTTGCCTGCGAAGTCCTTGCAGATAACTTCCCCGACCTCTCGTCCTTCACATTTGTCGATTTGGGCTCGGGCGCAGGAGGCCCATCCGCCACCTTTGAGAGACTCCTCAACGCTCGCCTGCGCGCCCAGCATCTCCCTCCGACCCAGTTCCTGCTAACGGACCTCAATCCTCACCCTCGCGAATGGGCTGCTCTCACCAAACAGCAAGACAATATCTCATACGTCTCTGAACCAGTCGATGCGTCAAAATGTGGTCGATTGGTTCCACAAAACCGGAAGGAATGCCGAATGTTCAACGTGGCTTTCCATCATTTCGACGACCCGCTTGCTGTACCCATGTTGCGGAGTGCGGTTGAGTCGGCTGATGCATTCATGTATGTCATTAACCCCACACCCATGTCTTCAAATCGAGTATCAACAATACTAACAAAGATAATCAGTATTTTCGAACTCACCGCACGCGATCTCAGCTCGATGCTGATCTTACCAGGCCTGGTACTGATCGCATGTCAATATACCCTGCTCCGATTCTGGCGGTCGCCCTTACATGTGCTTTTCACATTTGTGTTGCCTCTGGCTCCTTTGCTCATGGTTTTTGATGGCTTTGTGTCTATCATGCGCTGTCGGACCTCGTATGAACTGCACGATCTGGTCAGACGAACGGATGCGCCTGGTTTGGAGAATTGGGAGTTTCGGTCGGGAAAGTCGCCGGTTATGTATCCGACTACGAATGTGCATTGGTTTATGGGGGTAAAGAAGACGGCGAAGTAATTCTGCTGAGAGGCATTCTGTCTTGAGTCAAAAGTTCGGTGCTATGTAGTGGGCTGATGCTGTTCTAGACATCAACAATTTAGTACATTGACAGAAGTTGTATGCTAGGTAAAAATAACGAGATTAAATGATGATTATGGAAATCCTTGCACAATACTGCAGCTTCCCGTCTCTAAAGTGCACAGTGTACTTATTCCGTCCTTGTCAACATCTGGTACGCTGTATAGGACCCAAGCCGCGTCGGCGCATGAATTAGTTGCCATGGCCCATTGTTATGCTTTAATGCAAATGTCAACCACAGAACGGAAGTCGACCAGGTCCCAACGTGGCGGCACTTTGTGATCGAAGAGACGATGTAGCTCAGAAGGTATACATGTCTAGTACAGGTTAGACCACCCAACAGCCGATGCCGAGGCCCTAAAACCTACTAGCAGATAGTGGGAAGATAACCACCACTCGGTAAGCCCACGTGCTTTTCCTGCTTGCCGATGAGTACTTAGAAGGCTCGAACGTCAGGAGATCTATCTTACAAAGGTCGAGTGGCTGACGCAGCGAAATGCAAGGACCCGGGAAAAGGATCGCATTCAGCCTGGGGTACGACTCGCGTCTCCACACCCCATGTAAGCGAGATGATGGCTGCAGCCGAGACATGACAGATGCCCTATCTTGTGGTGTCGTGGCTGTTTGGAATCAAGGAGATGCCCACGTGCATCGATGCTCTGCAGCTGCTGGTACACTCCAACGATATCTGAGCATGTCGTATACACAATAATGCACAACACAGTGATGGACATGTATATGGCTTTGCATTTCATTGCTTCCCCTAGAGCACGGCATGCCTACAAATTGGCGTCGCATCCACCCCGGTGTTATTACTGACTGAAGGGTTTCTTGCCAATAAAGTGGGAGTATCAACATGCACTCGACTTTCACTATCCTATCTGTACTGGCAGTAGCCTCTTTAGCTGATGCTGCTGCCATTGAAGCCCGCTCACAGAGCTCAACTCCACTGACTCCTAGTCCCTCAGCTACCACAACCGGAGTTGATTGGTTTCAGACTACGCCCGAGAGCTACCAGGGTATGTACTTAGTCGTTTTGCAGACTTAGGTTAAGCTGACTTCAGAAGGTACCGCTGCAACCGGAGTTGCTCCCTTCTTAGCCGAGACAAATCCTGCCCCGTTTGGACAAAAGACACTGTCTCCCAATGACCCGCTGGAAACAAGTGAGCCGATCAAGGGGGCTGCTGGCCGCAATATATTCCATTACATGGGCAACCTAAGGTACATCACCTAATGATGGGTTCCCCATTGATCTCAGCCTTAAGTCTGTTACTAACTCCTACAGCCCTTACCATGTACCCGATGGCTTCGGAGTGGATGAATATCCTCTCCCGAAAGGATCTAACATCACCCAGATGCATATGATTCACCGCCACGGTTCCCGGTATCCTTCATCCTCAGAAGGTCTGGCTTCATGGGCCCAGAAGATCGTCAATTCTACGGCTAGTGGTAACAATTTCACGGGCGCACTTTCTTTCCTGAACAATTGGGACTACGGACTGGGTCTAGAGATCCTCGTCCCCAAAGGCCGTCAGGAGCTCTATGACAGCGGCGTCCTAAACTTCTACAACTACGGACACCTTTTTAATTCCAGCTCGACCCATAAGCTCGTAGCGCGCACCACCACCCAGGACCGCATGCTCAAATCCGCAGAGAACTTCCTTGCGGGCTTCTTTGGCCTTGAATGGACAGAAAAAGCCAACCTGCTACCAATAATAGAAGGTGTTGGCTACAACAACTCCCTAATTGGGACTTACTCCTGCACCCGCGCACTAGAGTACATGGCATACAATGCCACCACACCCCTATCAACATGGAAAAACATCTATCTCAAAGAGCGCACCGAAGCACTCCACACCCTGACTGGATCCTACAACTGGACCACGACCGACAGCTACAACGCGCAGAGTATGTGCGCCTACGAGACCATCAGTTACGGCTACAGCCGCTTCTGCGAGCTTTTCACCTTTGGAGAATTCGAAAACTTCAGCTACTCCTTCGATATCGAATTCTCCAACATGGTCGGATTTGCCTGTCCCGCGGGCCGCGCGCAGGGAATTGCCTGGGTAGAGGAATTTCTCGCCCGTGTGGAGGGCCACTTACTCCAGACTACAGGCACCAATGCCAACATGACCCTGGACACGAATCCTGTGACGTTCCCAACGGATCAGAATCTCTACCTTGACTTCTCGCATGATGCGGGTATAGTCGCTGTTCTCACTGCGTTTGGATTCAGTCAGTTCGCCCAGTATCTGCCTCCTACTGGACCTCCTCTATACCAGCAGTTCAAGGCTAGTAACATTGTTCCTTTTGGTGGACGGACGAATATTGAGATCATCAAGGCGCCTCATAAAGTGTCTGCTACGCGTCCTGTGGGTGATCAAGGAAATGCCTATGTGGATGGTACTGGGGAAACGTTCTACGTTCATTTTTTGCAGAATCAGCGTACGCTTCCTCTGCATTCTAGCTTTGCGGATTGTGAGTATCGTGATGATGGTTGGTGCGAGCTGTCTACGTTCATGAATGTTCAGAAGAAGAGTTTGGAAAGATCTCAGTTTGAGTATGCTTGTTTTGGTAATTGGACTGTGACTGAGTATGGGACTGTTACTGATGGTGTTCCGGTTTGATGCTGGATTTCGATGATGTATCATATAGTGTGATGCACAGAGGCTAGTGTGGTATGGGCATATAGTATCTGTTGGAATATGAGAGATACGAGATCTAAAATAGGAGTTTTTGATTTATGTAGTAGCATTGCATCGCCGCGAACAAATCAGTTCTCCGGGACCGGATGGTCTGCCGCTTCAACGCCCGCATGCCAGCGATATTTTGCAGCTGGATGATCAGCCGGCGGGCCGCTCTGCCCTTCCTTGCCGTAGATGTTTTCGCGGTACGTTCCATTCTTGACAGTGTAGTCATCCCAGAAGAGGCCTCTCTTACGGAGTTCAGGGATCAGCAAGTCAATGATATCCTTGAAGGAGCCGGGTTTGATAGCATATGCCTGGACCTGTTAGCCAAATACACCCTTTAACCATCTCCAGGAACATACCAGATTAAACCCATCCACATCCGCCTCGTTCACCCACCGTTCCATCTGATCCGCCACCTGCTGCGGCGTTCCCACCGGCGTGGCACCCAGCCCACCAACAGTGATATGTTGACCCACAGTAGCCTTCGTCCACTTCTCAACCTCCGGAGTCGCCTTGGACCAACCTTCAACAGCAGACCTATCACACAATCAGCACATCTCCCACCCATCACCAAGCACAAGAAGAACATACCGAATTGCATTACTCTCCACATGCCTCAACTCCTCATCCTCTCCATACCGATCGAGATCAATCCCCGTCCAGCCCCCAAACAGCGCCAACGCACCATCAA